GTCCTGAGCACTCACGACTCTGCCACTTGCCCAGAATCTTTGACTGTAGATGTTTTAAACCTCCAAAGACTTTATTTTTAATATATTATCATCAAAATATTTGCATGTAATGTAATCCATCCATTCAAAGAGCACCATTCAACCTCTGGAAACCCCTGATCTACTTTCTGTCTCTATGGCTTTCCCTATTCTGGATACTTCCCGTGAATGAAATCACACAATGTGTAGACTTTCGTGACTGACTTTGTTTGCCAGCACAGTGTCTTGAGGTTTATCCAGGCCATAGCAAGCATCTGTGATGCTTTCTTTCTGTTGACAATCGGTCTCCCACTGTCTGGCTGCATCCCGTTGTATTTATTTATCCATTCACTGAGGGCATTAGTGGTGTTTCCACCCTTTTACTATTATGAATAATGCTACCGGGAACATTTTTGCACAAGGTTTTTTTTGTGGGACCATGTTTTTACTTCTCCTGGGGAATGTGCTTAAGAGTAAGATTTCTGAGTCTCGATATCTCTATATTTAACATTTGAGAATTTTCCTAGATGTTTTCCAAGACTATTGCTTTTTTACTGGCAATGTTCATTTAGAATTACCACCATATTTACCACTTTCCTTGTTTCTTATTCATTCCTGCATCTCTGTATTCCCTCTGAAATCATCTTACAATTATTGTTTCTTCGAAAATACCTTTGTTTTTATTGAAAATCAAACTTTAGATTGATAGTTGCCTTTTTTAGCTCTTTGAATATACCATGGCTTTTTCCCCTTCTGTGGACAGATCACCTGATCATGCTTATTATAGGTCCTTTGAGAAAAGAATTTTCCTTCACCCTGTTTGTAAGAAAGAGGGAGCAATGTTTGTCTTTGATTTTGAATGGTTATACTACAACGGTCCGTGCTCAATGCTCTGCTTGGTATTTAGTGGGCTTCTTAAATCTGGACCCTTGTGACTTTGATCCATGGGGGGGTGACCATGTGCATGACCACTGACGCCCAGACTGCTTTTCAACTGTCGTTAGACGTGTTACTACTTTTTAGACAGGCAGCCCACCGTTGTCTAGCTTCACATATAAACACTTTCCTTCTGCCTGGGATGTGAGGATTCACTTGTGTCTCTGCCACCCAAGACATGTTTCCATGCAAAAGCCTCCAACCAATTGTACTTTGTGCAATCTTGGATCTCCCTGTGTCTTTCTTTGGCCTTTCAAGGCACTTTCTACATTTGATGGTGAGTTCTCACACACCAGGACTGGGATTTCCTGACACGTCACTTCTGTGCAGATTGTGTCCTCTGCCCTGTCTTTACCCCTTTCTGTTTCCCATAGTTTTTTCTGGATATAAAGAGTGTTATCAAAAATTATGGTGAACGCTGATGCCCAAGTGCCATCCAGCAAAAACTAGGTTCACAAGAACATTGCAGTGCGTCCTCGTCTGCCTTATTCACTGGATCTGTGCCGTGTGACTCCTGGTTCCTCCCCAGTGTAAAAATGACCACGAGATAAAATGTTTAGCATCAATTCGAGATGTTAAGGCAGCCATGACAGTGCAACTAAAGACACTTAGAAAGGAGAACTCCAGAGCTGCTCTGGAGTGTGGCGAGAAGGATGGGGGAAGTTCGTTCAGAGGGAGGGGACTAATGCCAGTGTGTCTTTTACTATAACACAGTTGTAAATTTAAACATTTTTCAATCACACTTTGTGTTCTTCTGGTTTATCTCCTGGTAATTTATTGATTTTTCTTTTCAGCTCTATGCCTAGCCCAAAGCCTGCTGCTGTGGGGTGCACTTGAGGTCACCAGGCCCTTCCAGTCCTTACACAGCTGTGGAAGATTTCAGGGAGTACAGAATGTCCCTCCCTTCCTCACTCCTTCTGGAGTGCTTCCCTGGCTCCCAAGTCAGCCCCTTGGGCCAGAGTGATCTCACTCACCAGTTGACTCAGAAATGCTTGTTGAATAACGTTCTTGGGAGACACTACCTTCCCACCTCAAAGGCCTCTGGCCCCTGGCCCTAAAGTTACAACTCAGGAGCTTCAGAAGGTTGAGAGTACCTGACCTTTTGGGGTTTTGTTTGTTCTTATAACTGCCTTTTGGAGCTTTAATTCATAGACCGTATGACGCATTCTCTTACAGGTGACAGTTCAGTATTTTTGTGTAGTTCCAGAACACTGGATTCAATACTTGAATCACTTTTTGAATATTTTCACCATTCCAAAAAGAAACTACTAATCCATTATCACCCACTCCCCATTTCTCCCATTCTCCCCACTCCTAGACCCTGACAGGGCCTCACTAGGTTCTGCACACTGATCTTAAACTTGCTTGTGTGGCCCAGGCTGGCCTCAAACTCACAGCAATCCTCCTGCCTCAACCTCCCAAGGGCTGGGATGACAGGCATGTGCCATCACCCCTGACTCCGCTTTTCATTTATGGAGAATGCAGCCATAAACCCATCTACAAGTCTGCGAGTGTCCTTGTGCTCTCACTCGGGGCCACACTCATGTTTACACTTTTGAGAACTTCCACGCAGTTTTCCCAGGAAGCTGCCTATGTAACTTTCGGACAGCACTGTCCAAGAGCTCCACTGGTCTGCACACCCTCACCAGCGCTGGTCGTCTGTCTTTCTGGTGACCCCATCCCACTGGCTGCTAACTCACAGTTCACTATGGTTTTGACTTGGATTTACCTAGTGGCCATTAAGGTTAAGCATCTGTTCATGTGTGTACTGGCTACTGGTATATTTTCCTTGAAAAATATTTCTTCTGATCCTTGGCGCATTTTTAATTGGATTAATTATCTTTTTATCATTGAATTGCAAGAATTCTTTTCTCAGTTGCCTTTTCACTTTCTTAAGGATGTCTTTTAAAACACCTGAGTTTAAAGTTTTGGTGATATGCAATTTATCTTTTTTCCCCCTTTTCCTATGTTTTTTATGTCTACCTGAGGAACCACTGTCTAATCCAAGGTCATGAAGATTCATGCCTAGGCTTTCTTCTAAGAAGTTTATGATTCTTAAATTTTGTAGATGATATGAAAGTAGGGGGCCCGTTTCACTCATCTGTAGTCAACTTCTTGTTTTATTTATTGTTTTCTGTGACATCCTGGGCTTTTATTTTCACAATCTTTGTAAGAAGAACTCATTTAATTCTACCTACCACGCCTCAGAAGATCAGCTCCCGCCATGCACTAGGATCAGCCATGACCTCCTCATTCCACCACTGGCTACAGGGACTCTGGAAACTCCTCATATAAGCAGTTCTTTCTCTGGCAGAGTTTCTAAACCCTTTGCTGAAACACTAATATTTGTGTTGCAACCGCATTGGCAAGTCTTTTCCAGGGACAGTCAATTTCTCACTAGCTAGAAACAGAAAACAGGGATGGAAGCCTGCTGAAGCGAACTGCCTTGCATCAGATGAAGCAAGTCACTTAGTACCCAGTGTACAATTCTGGGATGCCCGGCATCTGTATTCTGTTGCAGCTAAAATCCTGAAGAGTCCTCGAGAGGGACATTCCCGATTTGTCACCCCCTAGCACGTGGGCCGCCCCAAAGCTGAACCAAAATCAGTGTGGAGAGAAAGAGGGGGAGGAGTGTAAGCACCAACATGAAAGAATGGGGCAGGGGAGCCCTCAGAGTGAGGGGCATTAGATAGACTCTGGAGCCAGTGGTGCCTCCTTTTCTGTGGTGGCTGGGCCAGCAGCAAGGAGACTGTGTACACGGACCATGTGACTTTCAGGAGAAAAGTAGTCAGTGACACCTGACAGTCCTGACTCAGCCCTCCAGGCACCTCTGGGAAATGCTCTGTGACCCCACTCCCACCCGCAGGGGACACCCATCTCTGCCCAGTGACCTCAGCTCTGTGGAGGTGGGCTGCTCTTTCTCCCACAGACAGCAGGATTGCAGTGTCTGGCCACAGCTCAAGGATGAGCATGACCACGTGGACCTACCCAGGGCCAGGCAAAGGCAGAAAGCCAGCTGTTTGCCAGCCCGCTGGCTCCCACTTTCCTGCTGGCCTCTGGCAGTTGGAGGAGAGCCTGGCTGCTAACCCAGTTGGCCAGCAATTAAAAAAAAAAAGAGAGAGAAACATCTGTCTTTCACCATTCTGATGTAAAGAGGGTGTTAGTGAGTGTATTCAAGCCTCTGGCTGTTGCAGGGGGGGTGCGTTCTATCCGCTAAAAAGATATACGGAAGAATTATACTTAGGCAGCTGTGATTGTGACCTTACTTGGAATACAGTGTTCAGAGGTGTAATTAAGTCCAAGATCTCAAAAGGAGAACGTCTTGGACCTAGAGTGAGTCTTAAATCCAATAGTGAGTGTCCTCCTAGGAAAAGGGAGGGTGATTTGAGCAGACTTGTGAAGAAGCAGGCAGGGATTAGACTGATGCTGTCCAAGCCAGAGAATGCCTGGGGGTGACAGGAAGCCGGAAGAGGCAGGAGGGCCCTCTCCTAGAGCCTCGGGAGGAGGCAAGGCCCTGCCTGTCCCTGGATTTTGAACTTCTGGCTTCAAGGGTGCTGTTATTTTCAGCACCCTTTTTTGTTTTTTGTTTGCCTGTTTGTTTGTTTTGGTGCCGGAGATCAAACTCAAGACCTCGAGTTTGCCAAGCAGACACTTACGCTGCTGAGCTAAACTCCGGGCCCCTATTGTGGCGCTCCTTTGTTATAGCAGCTGCAGGGCACACAGACAGCTGTCCAGGGTGTACTCCCAGCCAGGGCCCTGCTGCCAAGGACTGGTCCCAGGACTGACCCAGTAAGAGCCTGGAAAAGACGTGTGGTGGGGACTTTCCAGCACTGTCCTGGAGCCCAGAAAAAGCCTCTCCTGACTGCAGGGCTGGGTGAAGACCCTGGTGTTTGGTGAAGCTCTTCCCAGGATGTTGCACTCCAACTCAGGAGAGCCAACCTCTGCCTCCCACCACGACACATGAGTCCCGAGACCCAAGGTGGGTCTCTGGGTGGGGAGGAGAAGGAGGAAGACTCAGCTCAATAAGCAGACAGAAGAGGCCGGGATGCTCAAATCATGATTCCAAGTTTAATGTTTCCTGGAGAGAGCGGTGTGGGGCACAAGCAATGATTGCGCAGAAACACGGCTTGTACAGTCTGACCAGCAGAGGGTCTTCAAGGGGCGGCTCTTTGGACCCTGCAACCCAGCAGCCAAGCCCCAGAGGGAGGAAGCATGGGCCAAAACCAAGGATCTCGGGACAACAGAGAGGAAGGGCCATACTGGAGAGGCAAGGACCAAGGGCCAGAGCTGGTGGGCAGAGCAACTTGGGACCCTGAACCCCAATGTGCAGTAAGATTCCGGAAATCTGGCCATTGCTGGAGATCAGGGAACAGGACGCTGCTCCAGGCAGACCTGGAATCACCTCGGAGCACCTGCCTCTTCTGCCGATCTACCCTTCAGAGACAGAGTGGAAGCCCAGTGCCAGATATCTGTTTCTTCTTTTGTCCTGGTCCCAGGACTGCCCCAGTAAGAGCCTGGGAAAGATGTGTGGTGGGGACTTTCCAGCACTGTCCTGGAGCCCAGAAAAAGCCTCTCCTGACTGCAGGGCTGGGTGAAGACCCTGGTGTTTGGTGAAGAAGCTGAAGTGGAGATGCTGAGCCCGGAGGAGACACAACTGAGGTGCTGTGAGGTGTGTCGGTAGAAACAGAGTCAGAGGCCACGGTGCTTTTGTGGCCAGTCCACAAAAGGGAGGAGGAACAGGAAGCTGAAGCCTGAGCTCCTGGCATGGAGATCCTACCCAGGGCTCCAAGCTCGTCTGGGGGAGCAGGACGGTGTTTGGATGCACCAGGAGCTTGGCTCCCCATAGAGCCATCTGCAGGCCTAGGGGTCCCTGAGGTCCCCAGCCACTGTCAGTCCATAAGCTGAAGCATGCAGGCTGCTTCTGCCAATCTGCAGCCCAGGGCAGAGGGTGTGTCTGTCCCTCTGGGGAGCAGACACTCTAAGCTCCAGCACTCTCATTGTCCTGGCTCCAAGTCCTCTCTTCAGGTCACAGTGACATCAGTGAGATAGGGACATCAGTCCAGCTGTCTCCCAAGAAGGTTCATACGTGGTCTAATATAATTAAGCCACATGTGGTCTCCTGGACCCCTGGTAACCCAGCTCCCCCTTTGGCACCCATGTTTAAATCTGTTCTTCCGTGGTGTCTCCGGTGACCTCCCATGAAAACATGCTCCCTAAGAGAGCCAAGGACTGGAGAAGCAAGGATAACAACATTTTCCCTCCAGGGTTGACTTCACCCCTTTGGAACCTTAGCATTTGCTTCATTACTTCCAGGAGCGGGAGCGGAGACCCAGGCTGTGCACAGTGCAAGGCCAGGTCACTTACAGCTGCGTTCACACAGGGGAGCCCGAGGTCCCCCTGTCCTGTGCTCATCTGCCGGCAATTCTCTGCTGACCATGGTGGCCAGAGCGGGGCCCACAGGCCATCTTGACTTCCGACCCACCAACGGTGTCTCATTGATGCCAAAGCTGGGGACGCAGAGGGCAAAGAAGCCTGACTAGAGAACAAGGTGATGAGGTCAGCCTGGCACTGGACCCCTGGGTCTGCGGGATGCAGGTGTGGGCAGGGGGCGAGAAGAAACCGGCAGTCTTGGGCATGCAGCGGTGGCACCACTAGGGCTCGGCGGCGTGCTTGACCAGGTAACCGCTGAAGGTGATGTACGTGTCGAACTCGTCGCTGAAGATGGCATTCTCGCGCTCACCCTTGAACAGGCGCACCCACACCTCGTCCTGCTCCTGCAGCTCCAGCATCAGGCTCTGGCTCTGCATGATGCTGCGGTCACTCACCTGGGCGTACAGGATCACCACCTCCTCCGCGTTCCTCATGATGTGCAGGTAGGTCTCCTTCTGGTTCCACGTGTGCACATTGAGGCTGAAGAAGTAGATGCCAGGCACATAGCAGTAGAATCTGCCCGTGAACATGTTAAAGTGGCCGTAGAGGTTCACGAACTCTGTGTCAAAGACCACGGTCTGATAGTAGTCATTGCTATGAAGGGGCTTCTTCCGGCCCACGGAGAAGGCTGCGTAATAGTTCTTGCACCGGTCCCCAGGGGCCCCCATGGACCCCTTCTGCCCTTTGGGTCCAATGTGACCCCGGGCACCTACAGAGCCTGTCTTGCCGTATTTCCCTTGAAGCCCGCGGTCTCCTCGGTCACCCTTCTCACCTAAAAGGGGCAGGAGGACAAGGGGGTCAGGGAGGACCATGGTGATCAGGCCGTGCCTGGACTTCCTGTTTCTGGCCCCAGGTACCATCCTGACTGGACATCACAGCCCTGACCCCACTTCACTTCTGCCACCACCGCTGAGACTCCCATCCCAGGTGCCAAGGTCATCTGATTCCCAAAATAGTCAGGGTATTTTCATCCAGAAACAGTAGTTTCGTTTTGTTTGTTTTGGTTTGGTTTGGTTTCCCTTCTGGAAAGTCCTGGCAAAAATGAAGGAGCATATGGGTTTGTCCACAAGCAAGAGGCTCCACGGCCAGCCCCAAGCTCAGTAAGCAAATGGACTTCAGATACTGAGGTTCAGCTAAAGATGAGGTAGTCAGCATTCCCACGGGACTGTGCAAGGCTGGGGACTGCAAGCATCAGAAAACACCCCGAGGCACCAAACCTCAAGACCCGCAGTCCACCCACCCTGCAAGCAGGGGGCCCCACAGCCCCATAGGCTCCTCTTGGAAACCCCACCAGAGCCTCAAATCTGAATCTCCTCCTCTCCCCCTAGGCGACAGCCCTGCTCAGCTCCTGTCCCAGGGAGCAGCCCCACCCTGACACTCTGCCACTCCCTTCCTCCCAGCAGCCTGCAGCTCCAGGATGTGCCCTGTGTTCCCTCTCTGCAGGCATCTGACCTTTCAAGATTGTGATGTTGATCTGGGGCACGGGGATCCCCTGGTACACAGGGGTCCCAGGGTCACAGCAACGAAAGCACTGGGAAGCCGGGAGCTCCTCACCCAGGCTGGTGCTGTACTTCTCGTGTTTGTCTTCGTCCCTGAGGGGATAAAGCACCCAGTAAAAGCCCTGAACCCGCAGGGCAGGAACACCCCTTTCCTCTGCCAACTGTGCCTCGATCACTGGATGCCCCCCTTCCCTCACCTGCGTGCTCAAGGCGCTCATTAGCATTGGCACAAGACACATCCTGGGACCCAAACCAAACTCCAGAGTGAGTCCCCTGCCGCCCTTGGAGAACAGAAGCCACAGTAGTGGGAGTGACATCAACACAAACACCACAATTTGAGGGCTGTAATCGCCCTCAGACAGTGGCCTTGCAATGATGTAACACAATGCCCTATCAGATACCTGTAATTCTGGGAAATTACCTCCTAAGCTGGCTCGTTTGTAAATGAGAGTATTCAACTTGCTCTTTAGGATGCCTTTGGGCGGCAGCAGCTGGAGACGCCGTTGCTGCCTGACATCTACTGGGGGCTGGACAGAGGGTGGAAGGCGACAGCTTCATGATGCCACCTCGCGGCAGCTCGGGGCATAACACGGTGATCTCGCTTACTCTCGCACCGGCGCTCCAGCTATGACATCTCAGCTGGCCAGTGCCGAGCGAGGCTCCCACTTTTAACCCCCAGACAATCCGAGCAGTGGGTTTGCACACCCTCAGCTCAGCCACCGGAGAGCTCGAACATGCACACTCGGGCCACCACCTCTCCTAAGCCACAAACTTCTTGTCGCACCTCCTGCCAGAGATTCATCAGGGGCCACGGACATCTTGCACCCCAAACTGAAATCCTGTGCATGTCCCTTCACCCAGGAACTTCTCCTTCCAATCACGGATTCCAGCACCCGCCCAGCACAGGGCCCTCGGCCTTATCACAGTGCCCACAGGTGGCACAGCCACATTCAACACCGACCCGAGTCCCCTGGCTGGCTGCAGCCCCCTCATCACCTCTGACCTCGCCATCTGGGCTGCTCTCCTGGAATTCGCTTCTAAGGTAGCAGCACATCCTTTCTAACACTCCGCTTCACCCTTCCTCTAGAAAACCATCAAATGCAAACCTTCCTGTGACTCCCTGTTGCCTACAGGAGGAAACCCGGTGAGACTCTTCCCTGCTAGACTCAGCTGCTATAGGCTTATCTCTCTGCTTCCTATCTAAAGTCACAGCTGCCACCACCTCAAACCACCAGCCCATCCCATGCCAGTCGCTGAACCTCTGCACACCTCAGCCTGGCAGCTGGGCTGGCTGCTTCTGCACTTGGGAGCCTCCCTTAAGACACAGTTCACTATTAGGCTTGATCTCTCTGGCTCTCACCCTCCCTCTTCTGTCCCTGCGCTCCACAACATTGTGGGACACCCCACCTACCCAGCCTGCCTCAGTGCATGACCTCTCCACAGCATTGGGGTTTCCAGAGCCCAGGGGCCGTCATTCTCACGGTTCTCCAGTGCCTAGAGGACAGCATGACTGACAGCAGGTACTATGTTGAATGGAAAAAGGAGAAGGACAAAGGAATGCTGTTCCTGTCCCCAAACCCTGGCAATTAAAACCTGGCGCATAAAGTCAGCCCAATGCTCAGAACAGCAAAGAGACCTGAAGTCAGCATGGCCTCTGGGACCTCCCAATTTGATGGTGACTTTGGTGAGTGTTATAGTTTGTGTCTAGTTGTCCACCCCCACCCCACCCCAGCCTCATGTGGTCATAGGGCTTTTTCAAGAGATGGTGAATCCAGAGTGTGTGATGCTGGGGTCAAGGGTGTGTGATTACTAAGTCAGTCCAACGACTGGCTTGGCCCTGCCCTCATCTGGTAGTCTAGATAAGGTCAGAGGCAGAAAGACGCTGTCAAGGACTCTTGCTGCCTTTGCTAGCTCGTGGGTGCCATGAACTGTTCTCTGCACTACCCGCTGCCATGTGCTGCTCTGTCTTAGAACCATCCAACCAGGAACAGTGAGGTAAATAAACCTTCCTCCTTTGACTTGGGGTGTCTGGGTGCCTTGTCTCAGCAAAAAGAAAGGAACTAAGGCAGTGAGCGACCCTGAATATTCACATGTCCCCAGTAAACCTGGAGTCCGTACACTGCTGAAGCAGGCGCCAGTCCAAAGTGCTTCATAATCTTTCAGGAAAGGTGACACTTGTCTGTGTGGTCCTCGCTGATGCTGGGTTATGGTGACCTGCTCTTGGTCCAGCATCTCTCCCTGCTGATCATTCCTGCCTCCTGCCTCCCAGAGGAACCTAGCACCCTAGTGCACATTCTAAGTGAGTGTGCACAAGCATGGGGTGGCCAGGGCTGGCTTTGCTCCTGATTCAAGGAAGAGGCTGCAGCACCCTTCAGACTCCCGCTCCTCTAGGACTGGAAGGAGGCTGGATTTCTGGCCTGTGATTCAGGCAAGGCATACAGAAACCAAAAGGAGAGCGGTCCCCCAGCTCCAGCCCTGACCTGGCCTGCACTGTCGCAGCCCCTCACCTCTCAGCATGGTCCATCAGGGGAGGCGGCTTCTGGGTCCCCTCCTGCTCCTGCTGTTCCCGCTGTCCTCGTGGGACATGGCTCAGCACTAGGCCCCAAGCAAAGGCCAACAGCAAGCAGCATCCCAGCACAAGTCTCTGTCCTCGGGAGCCCATCTTCTCACTGTGCCCTGACAGAAGGAAGACAGTGGGGAAGCATCTGGTTAGCAAGGAGCCCCAAAAGACACAGCTGAGGAACCCAAGGTGTCATCTGGTCCCCAACACTAGAAAATATGCAAACATGCATGCTCTTCAACACACGCATACACTTGTACACACACACTCACCTGGCCATGCACACTCCACCACCAGAGGCATAGCCATTGGGCTGGCATCGAGGTTCCACCAAACACAGTGCTGTCAGTGCCCACCCAGGCCCTCCCTAAGTAGAGTCCATCAGCCCTGAGTATGAGCCCCAAGTAGGATTGCTGACCACCCCCCTCAGGCCAATGAGCAAAACTAAATGAGTTTGACCCATCACCATCTATGACAAAGCCACACTGGTCCTCTCTTCCCTAGTGCTGGGGCTGGGCTGGGGTGTGGGGAGTAGCAGAGTGGCTGCAATGTGCTTCCTGCCACCAGGGGGCGTGCTAATTTAGGAAAGGCCATGTTCCCCTCTCCCATGGTTCTTTGGGCACAAGGCTGGGGCAGAAGCCTCCTTCTCCACGATCCAGAGTCCCTCTAGAAAGAGGTGACTTATCTGGGAGGAGGTCTCAGGCCCTCCTGCAGGCAGCACTTGGACTTGAAATCATCCAAGCAGCCCCTTGCTTTCTCTGTGAACGGGCAGACGGGTGGTCCTCAGGCCCTGAGTGATGATGATTGGTGAATCATCATGTCTGGCTGTTCCAGGCAGGTGACAGAGAACTGTGGTCAATTCTAAGCCTCTCTTAGTCACCAAAACATAAAGTGTGACACCTGGAAGTATTCAAGAGGACACCTACTTCAACCCTGTCCTTACTCAGTGGGTAAACTGAGGCCCAGGGGCTAAGAAACCCTGTCCTTCATTCCTCTGGTGCATTGAAGAGAAATTAAAATCCCAAGACGGACTTTGCTTTGTCCGTAACCTGGGACCCAGACAAATGCTGCCCCTTACTCACATGAGGAAGCTGAAGAGCCCCCCTTTACTTTTCCACGGCTCGGAATTCTTGGCTCTCCACATAAATGAGCTGACGCCCCTGGCTGCAGGGAGATTTTGGCATCTCTCCCTGCGGGGACCCCACGCCCGCCAGGGAGGAGCCTCAGCATGCAGGCCGAGAGAAGAAGGCTGGCATGGTTGCACACAGAGCTACCTCAACCTCCCACCTCCAGGTGGCTCCCACCTCCAGGAGCCAGCCAGCTATTCTCCCCAAGCGTCAGGGACCAGGGACTTCCCAGTGAGCACCACCCCCGGAGTCTCTGACGCTGCCTTTACCACTTGCTGAAGAAACTGTGTGCGTGTATATATGGGATCAGACAAGCACCCTGAAGCACCCCGGGCTTTGCAGGTGCTCAACAAATACTTGTCAAGCTGAATTCTCTAAATCTGTGTATTTCTCTGTTTCTGTATTTCCTGCTTTTCTTTAGCAGCTTACTTAATTACTCTCTTTTTTCCTTTTAATGTTCACCTTGCATCAGTGAATGTTTTCCTTTCTTTAAACTTTTTAAAAATCTAACATAGGGGCTGGGGGTTTAGCTCAGCGGCATAAGCACCTGCCTTGCAAGCAGGCGGTCGTGAGTTCGATCCCCCGTACCGACAAAAATGAAAAAGACAAAAAATAATAATAATAATAAAAACCTAACATAATATATGTACATTTAAGAAAGTTGGGGCGTGACAACAAAAGGAAGTACAAAGCTCCGTTGGACTGCCCTACCCCAGGCGTCGTGGCCATGGCACCACCAACATTTGGGGCAAAACATCTGGGAACTATCCTGATCCTGGCAGGATGCAGGCAGTGCTCCAGGATCTACTCACTAGATGCCATTAGACCTCCCTGAGTGTGACAATCAAAAATTCAGACTCTGTCCCATGTCCATCCCTGAGGGAGCAAAATTGTCTCTAGCTAAGAAGCAGCACTGTGTTCCCAGTGGAGCCATCCTTTGGCCTGGCGGTGTGTCTCTCAGGTCTGGAAATGGAACCTTCTACACCTTACTTATAAGCAATGAGGCCCAGGATGCAGGCAGGCTAACAATGTGTGGTGGGGGTAGACAGCCTTGCCGCCAGGCAGAAGCTTAGGCTGACGGACAGAGGGCCATCCTCCTGCTTGGAGCCAAAGCAAACACAGATTGCAGTCCTTCCTTCTTCAACAAGATATTGAGAACCATTTTACCAAATCCCACAGCAACGTCAGTGTGATGACATTTTAGTGACCTTGGGGCAATGCCGTTGCCTAAAAGCTAGTCCAACCTGGCATCAAACCACCGTTAGCGATTTCCAGCGAAACAGTCTCCCTACAAAGGATGCAGCTTCGCCCAGTGAAACCATCTGGAGGAACGTGTTTGCAGCGAAGCCAAGCCAGGGAGGAGGCCAGACAGCCCGGCCAGTGGCAGCCGCCCTCCTACTCCAGACCCACACGTCCTATCCCCAGGCCATGCTGCAATCAGAACAGCCAGAGACCATCCCAGCGTGACTCAGGGTTGCCTTTCCCTCACCCTCTGAACATAAGCCCCATTTCTCGCTAACTGTCCTCTAATTTTTCCCACCAGGCCCCCCAGGACCTGCAATGCAGCACATCTGCACCCCCATCCCATCTGCCTTCATCCTGACCTCCCCTCAACAAGAAAGAAGCCCTGTTTACAGGAGGAGGAGGAACACAGCATTTCCTGGGACGTGGCGAGGGCGGAAAGTCTGAGGGCACTTCTGAGCAGCTAGCTTTTATCTGTTCAGATGCCTCCTACAGACATGTGGTGAGTCCTTTTGAGACAATATTCACCCACAAGTCCCAAGGTCCTTACACGTGTTTAAAACCAGCCCACGTGCCCATGGCCACCCTGGCATGCTGACATAGACTCCTAGAGCACAGGGACCTCCTGCTCGGGTTTTGCCTCAGTGCCACACCCAGCCCAAGGCCATTTGACAAAGGCTTCTGTAAAGACTTTCTTTCTTTAATCCTCATGGGATAAGTGGTTGTTCTGAGAGGCCAGAAGCCTATAATCTCCCTGAATTGAAAGGAGACTGAAGGCAAGTCTGAGCTGCCCTCTGCGCTGGCACACAAGTTAACCCTGGACCCATCCTGATCTGCGCGGCTTGAGCAAGAGTTGGAAAGGAAGTGATTCAGCCCTGAGTTAACTACACTCCCTGACCTCAGGAACACTGCAACCCAGAGAGGGAACCAAATGCACCCCGGTACAGCTCAGGGCAGCATGGCCAGAGATAGGTCTTGGGGTGCAGAGTGGACTTGGGGTGTAGCTCAGGGAGACAGCACTTGCCTACCGTGAGGACCTGGGTTCCATTCCCACCTCACACAAAAATTTTCTTTAAAAATTCTAACTTGAAGTCCCGAATTGCATGAGGCATTTTTACCAGCCCTCGACAGCAGCACATGGCTACCATATTGGAAGCATAAATCGGAACACTTTATTTACTGCTGCAACCTCTCTTGGACAACTCTGTTCTGGATTAAAATGAAGTCAGAGGGGGGAAGGAGCAGGAGCTATGAAGCCACAGCAGGCCAGAAATCTGGGAGTCATTCAGATGCCTTCCTCTCCTACATCCGGCACATCTAATCTGCCTCCAGCCTTCCGAGACAGCTCCTAACTGTCGCCTCTCCTTCCTACCCTGGCCTGCACCGGATGCGTCCCAGGGGCTCTGGCCATCTCCCAGACCTCAGCCACCAAAGCAAATATCTTTACTGGCTTCCTCTAAGGCCTGGACACCACCCCCAAAGTTTTACATACACCTCACGAGGAAGCTTGCCAAAGAGCAGGACTTTACAAAACCCACTTTATGGCTTGCAGAGCACAAATGTCATTTAGCTTGGGTTGGACCCATCCTAGTTTCCATACAGCACCGCTGACTCGGGCCCGTGTCCACCCCTTTGCACACCTGCCTGCCCACCTCTGCCTCTGAAACCCCTCTGCCTCACTGTGGGAGCCTGAGTCTGCTCACTCACTGCCATGATGCCTGGTGGGGTTCTCTGAGCTACCCAGACCTCTCCAGTGACTGAATAGGTTGTAGATCCTGGGGTGCCAGGAAGGAAAAAGTGTTCCTCTGACCCTGGTGACCATCAGGATGTCCTGACATGGGACGCATGCGCTCAGCCCTTTGCTTCTCCTGGAAGCCTTTGTTCCCATGAATTCTTTGCTTCCCAGACTCCACTCTCATCAGGCAAGAGGGAGGCAGAGGGACTTCTGGCTGACATGTGGCCCTCGAGCTCTTCCACAAGACCCCCTCTCTGACTGGGCTGTCCTCGCTGGCCTAGGACTCTCTCCCTCAGTCCTCACAGTGGGGAGGGTGAAACCCCTTGTGGAAGGAGCGCTGGCCAGCTGGAGATGACTGAGCCTCTTGGGCAGGTGTGAGAGTCCTTGCTCAGAATTATGCTTTGCTCCCTCACTGAGGCCCCTCCCTGCATTGGAAAAGAAGAGTTTAATTTTTTTTTTTAAGTTTTATGTGGTTACCTCCAAACCCAAGTGAGTCCGGGGATGCAGAAGGCAGGTTCTTCCAGGGTGACTTGCTAGAACATGAGCAGAGCTTTCTTCTCCCTGCATTGGAATCGGGTCTGCTTCAAGGAGAAATGGTGAGGAGAGGAGAGACCGAGAATTCTGCTGTTTTAAATCATCTCCCTCCTCTCAGTGGCCACCACACCTTGGCCAAGCAGATGCACCTGGAGCAGAGAGCAGGACTCAGTCTAAGCTTGTGCCCAGGCCCTGCAAATGGAATGCCACAAGGGCTGCCAGGCGACAGGCTTTGGGGGCACCTGGCCAGCCTGGCCTCTGAGCTATGATGGCAGCCCAGGGGGAACAAAGATTTCCTTGAGTGGAGCGGCTGTCCTCAGATCACCTCCCAGCTGGAAAGCCTCAGGCGGCAGGCTGGCCCTGCATTTGGGAACCGTGTGAGAGAAAAGAGGCCCTGGCAGCCCGTGCCAGGATCCCACTCTGCAGGTGGCCTGGCACACTGCCCACTTCCCAGGCACCAGCAATGGTGCCACCCCTGGGAGAAAAGAACCTGGGAATTCTGAGACCGGGGGCCCCGGGCACCCAGCCCCTTTCTAAGCAGCAAAAGCGCCCTTGTCTGTTTGCTTCACTGGGGCACGGCCATCCCTAGACATTTTATAGGCGCCCCTTGAGGAAGCCAGCAGAAGATAGAGGCTGGCCCAAAGCTACTGGCTCCCAGTCAGAAAGACAATCAGCTTAGCATCCACCAGCCCTGCGCCCAGGCTCCTGCCCATCTGCTCTACCAGTATCAAGCTCTCTTCTGGGCTCTCGTGTCGAGAGTTTTGAAACAGCTGCCTGCAGACACCCTCCCAGCCCAGGCTGGAGTTCACCCTTCTGGATCTCTAAAGACAGCGGCTTCCAGGGGTTCGTCCTCAGCTCCCAGCTCCTCTTGCTCGGAACCCTCTTTCTGCCTGTCTTAACCCACACCACGCCTTCCACAGACAGCGCCCTACTCTCATCCCCACCCAAGTGGCACCGAGCCCAGGCCTGAGCTCTCCAACACTCCAGCCACATGGAGCTGTTTCAATTAGTTAAGACTAAGCAGAATAAAGCATTCAGTTCTCAGCCACAGGAGCCACCATCTCGGCGCTTAAGTGGCCAGTGGCTGACATCAGGCTGATGAGACATTTCCACCACGGCTGAATGTTCCGTCTGGGCTCGTCTCCAGCTGTCTGCAGGACAACTCTTCCCTGCCCTGCTGTAACAACCCTGCACCGTGACTTAACTCATCTTCTCTCTTGCCCTCCATCCTCTCTCCTCCCAGGGCAGGCATCTTGGTTAAAAAGAAAAAAAACAGCAACAGGGTCACTCAAAGGGGCTAGGGCCCTACACTGGACGTCTAGGAGCCCCTGAGACCCCTCCCCTTCGGTCCCTGCCATGTCTAGCCCATTATAAACCTCCTGAAGATCCCCTTTCTGCCCCTTGACCTCCAGTACCACACCTTTCCCAGCTCTTCCCTGCTTCTCATCTGTCTTTGCCACAACTTCCCAAAGGCAGCTTTAAAAAATGCAGATCCCTGCCACCTCTCACTGCCCAGGCCCCGCCAGCATCTGGTGTTTCACTTGCAGGGCATCTGGAACTCAACCCTCATCTTTCGGTCAACCCCAAGTAGCACAACCATCATCCAAAGGGGACGCACTCGAAACCTTAGTGTTCAAATCTGTCTGCAATGCAAGGATGCAGGGAAGCCCACTATCACCAGGAGGCTGGATCCTGGGCAGCCTTTCCCTAAGCTCCTCTACCCCACACTCAGCAAGTTCCCAGCTTTCTCAAGATGGTTTGATCCCACGGCTCTGCTGGCCAAGGTTACAAACCACTTAACTGCACAGGCAGACAGTCGGATTAGATCAATTACAGTATAATGGGAAAAAGGAAAACCCAAGGTGGCTGATTAGAGGCAAACGCAGCAGGAGGAAGGAGTGCAGATGGAAACATCCCCTTGGTAGAAACACATTTAAAGAAAGAAAGAAGCAGGGTGTGGTGGCGCACACCTGTAACTCCAGCACTCTAGGAAACTGAGGCAGAGGAACTGCAAGTTCAAGGCCAGCCTGGGCAATTTAGAGACTTAGCAAGACCCTGTCTCAAAATAAAAAATGAAAGGCTGGGGTATGTCTCAGAGTGAAGGACCTGGGTTTAATGGAAAAAGACAAAAAGAAGAGGGAGCAGGAGGAAGAAGAGGAGGAGAAGAAGGAAGAGGAGAAGGAGGAGGAGAAGGAGAAGAAGAAGGAGAAAGAAGAAGGGGAAGAAGAAGAAAGGAAGGGGTGGGGACAGACTCAGCCAGCAGCCGCAAGCACCAATCAGCAGCCTCTATACAGGAGTAACTATTTATTGGCATGCAAAGACACTCATACCAATAAGTGAAAACTCGGGCAGAAAGCTCATACACACCGCTAACACACGTGCCACACCCGGGCAACCTCCAAGTCCCAAGGCCTCGCACCTGGCTGCTCACAATGCTTCTCCAGAGGTGGTGAAAACGCGGCTGTTTGACATTTTATTTTGGCTTCTTTTCTTTTAAATCTCCTATAACAATCCCATTTTTTTGCATAAAGTCCACATTATTTTCCACTTAGAAAAATGACAAGTTCCACCCTGGGGACTCAGGGAGCATTTTATTTGACTCTACACAGAAAATTTGGAATTTGACTCTACACAGGAAAGCAGATGACAAGGGCGCAAAGGATGCTGATGATACTGAGACACATTTACAGTTCCGAGGGACCATGTGGGACAGAGACGGAACCGGGGTAAAGCCTCACTTTCTTCCACTCATCTGTTCACCAGTGTTCACTGAATGCCTTCTCATAGCGGCCACTGGGCTGGGTCCTCAGGACACAGGGTAAGAAAATGCAGCCCTGTGCTTCTGCAGTGACCGCTCCTGCATGTGTGCGAAGCTTGGGTTTGGGGCTCCCACCATGTCAGCTTGCTCATCACAGCTGGGACAGCAGCAGCTGCCCTCAGCTTGGATGGAAACACCCACCAGTCAAACTTTTGCACCCCCTCACTCATCAGAATATCACTGAGCACCCCAGGATGCTTGGGGAACACTCACCATCTTCTCTGTAACGCCCGCTACTGGAATTCAGTTCCTTTGAATTCAAGCAGACTCCCCAAGAGCAGCCAACCCCCAGCCCCCCCCCCCAAACACAAGGAGCGTGGTCATGTGCCCCTGGGATGTGTATTTTTAGGGTCTTGCTTTCGCAAGGTCAAGAGAGCACAGCACACTGGGGTGCTCTGAAGAAGGAGAAGGTGCCTCTGTAAGCCCGTTCCTGCCCCGAAAGGCCCCCAACCCCACTGGTGGGCTGCAAAGGGATCCGAGCCATGTCCGCTGGCAGGAAGGAAATGGCTGAGGAATCAGTGCTGGCAGGACAGGAGCTTGTGTGCTGTGTCTGATGGTTCCTTAGGGGTTTTCTGGGGTCAGTCATGGTGGGGCCTCCAGAGAAGCCCGCACAGGACGGAGCAGAAGGAGGAAGCATGGGGCAGGCCTCAGCCATGGTCTCGCCCAGCTCCCCAGCAGCTACCCTGGCTCAGCAGCCACTGTGCTGAGTTGCCCCAAAGCAGAACATTCCACCAATCAAGTCTCACAGAGAAGCTCATGGGAGCTGGGAGGGCAGGGCTGAATGCCAAACCCACCCAGATCTTCCCATGTCACTCCAGAACCCACCTCCCCTGCCTCCCAGCTCTGAGGCCCCAGAAACTTGCATGACAAAGTTATAGACCCAGCCTGACTTCTGCCCTGCACCTGCCTGGATCCACCCAGGCCTGGACTGGCAGCTTCTCCAGGCAAGGTCCTCTTCCTTCTGGTCCCCAGGTAAGAGAGCAGCTGGAAACCAGATGTCTTGCTGGGTGGCAGGACTTTCTAGTGTGTCCGGAAGCACGTCTGACCCAGCCCCGGGCACTGAGGACCTGGCTTCCCCGGGCCGCACCACATGGTTGCTTCTTTCCTGCCCTCTCGTGGGCTCCTGCTGCCTTTCTCATCTCTAGCTTGTTTTTACAGGAGCAGGAAGATGGTCAGACACTGGGGTCCAACCAGCCCATAGGCAAGACACAAATGGGGAGCTGACATCCTGTGAAGACTTTTCCAATAGCCATCCTGTGCAGGGTGGGGTGCCCCAGGAGGGGCCCGTGGGCCCACACAGGCCTCAGAGGCAAGACAAGGGACTGCCACCATGGACAGGTAAGGACCTCTTTAGTGTCCCTGCTCACACCCAGTTCTGGAAATCAGGTATGGGCAGGATGGAGCAGCCTGTGGGAGTGCAGCTGCAAACCAAAGGCACTCCGCAACTGTGTCACACAAGTGCACCTTGACTAGGACCCTGAGGCCTTGGTCTTGCTTTCAGCCCTGTTCTCCCCGAGGGACGCAGGGATTCAGCACCTCACTGTGGGGCTTGCAGAGGACGAAAGAACCTGGATCCTGCACAATTTCATGTTGTGGTAAAACTCAGGACAGGCTGTGCCAGGTCAGGAACCAAGCTGGACTCAGCAGGGCCCCAAGAAGCGGAGAAAGTGAGGCTGGCCTGCTGGGATGCCCTGAGAGAATGTGGAGGGAGACAGGAGTGGGGCTGGATGAGCCTCCTGCACTGTGCTCTGCGAGTTGGGTGGAACACTGCTCACTCAGCAGGAGGGTCCTTCAGGTAGCAGCTTCTGTCCCTTGATATTAGGACAAAGCAGATAGCGGCAGATAAAACAGGAAACACTAACTGCTCACCCAGGAGAAGCTAAGCCGACCCAATGAAGAGCTTTGGGGTGCTGTTCCCCCCCCCCGGGGGGGGGGAGTCTCCAGGCCTCTCAAGGCAGCCAAAGCTGCCTCCCCAGTGAAGGCGGTTTCTCCCTCTCCTGGGAGGGTGGGTTGCCAGGAAGAGTCGGCCTTGGGCAATCAGGAGCCAAGGATTCCAAATGAGCGTCCCTCCTTCCTGCCCTTCCAGCCTAGCTATCACCCCCACCCTGCCCAGAGCCCTGGAGCTGCGGCCACCCCCAGCCCCAGGAAGTGGGACTCACAAAAGGGCCCGACCTCAAAGGGCAAGGAGCAAATGGGAAGCTGGTGTCCACTAAGGACACCCTGAGGCACTACAGTTTCTACGAAATGCTTTCATCTTTGTTTTGATGGCTGATGTTCAATGCCAGAATATTTGGTTTATGAGTCATGCTAATTACAGCTGGGGGAGAGGCACCAAGGAGAACAACACAGAGGAGCATGTTCTAAAAACATTAATGCCTTGCTGGTTGCCCGAATAGGGAGGTGATGCCCCAGGAATGAGGAGGGAGCTGCCCGTGCCTTCCTGGTGACAGCAGGCACTTCCTCGGGAGCTTCCCTGGCTGGCTGGGTTGTGGCGTCCTGGGGCCACCCAAGGCTTCCTGGGTTCTGTTTCTGTCTCCCTGAACTTCTGTTCCCTGGAAACACGTCCTTGGCATCGCAGGAACTCAAGATGGCAAGAGGAGAGGAGTGTCCCTGGGAAGCAGCCCCGAGTTTCTTCCTGCCTGTAGCTTTCTCTGATGGCAGCTGAGTAGGGGACACTGAAAAGGCTCAGGTTCCAGCCTCAGCTTGGAGTGCTATGCTCAGTGTCCCCCGCTGGGTGGAGTGTTCCAAGCGCAGTCTCAAGGGATGGAGACATGGGCTAAGGCCTGGGCTCCTTCCACGTATTTGTTCTGTGACCTTTGAAGCCATGCGTTCCCTTAAGAGTTGTTGACAATCAACAAATCCATGACTTGCCGTTCTTCTTCTTCAGACTGCTGATGCTGGTCAACTTGGCTCTCAAGGCCTGAAAAGGGGTGTGAGCACCCCCTTGTACTCCACCCTCTGTGTCCACCTCCTGCTTCCCCCCACCCAGCAGTGACGCTTTTGGAGAAGGCCCTTCCCTCCATGCAGCACGCAATGTAGTCAACTGTATGTATTTGTGACTTTGCACATGGGCTGCACCGCCTGCCAGGAGTGTGTACTTTCTGCACTATAAAAAGCAGAGCTGAGCAATCTCTAAGGACGTCACACACCCCTTGGGGATCCTGGAAGTTGTTTCTCAAGCCATTTCTCATTTCCAAAGTTTGGAAAAGCATGCCCTGTGGCCTCCATTCCTAGAAACTGAGCGAGGTGGAAGAGGAAGAAAGGAATCACAGCAAGGAAGCTCCCTCCAACTCTTCCCAGCCAAGACAGGTCAGGACAGTGCAGGCACCTAACGCCCTTGGAAGACCCACAGAGGAGCAGAGCTCTAGGGGCTGGGAGCAGCCAGGCAGACCCCAGGATCCAACAGGTGGGAGCATCCCTACCGGTGGAGGTGCCTGGAGAGCTGGGAGGCAGCTCAGTGACTGCAGCTGCAGACAGGGGTCCCTCTCATTCTAGCTTCTCCTCCCAGAAGGGTCCCCAGGGAAGGGACATTTAATTTTCCCTACCCAAGCTGGGTGCCTGCCAAGAACACCAAGGCTGTCAGATGAGGGGCCCAGTCCACACATCCTGTACAGTGCAGAAGCCCAAGCCGACCCCAGGGAGCCCAAGGCAAAGCTGCTTGCTACTCCCCAAGTGGCCCAAGGGATCCTGGGGAGGGTCTCTACCTGACACAGAGGTGGCCCTGGGCACCGTCCTTTAGCCTCTCAGTCTCAAAGAAGCACCGGAGCAGAGAAGCAAGATAAAACATCCCACAAAACAGTGAGGAGAAGCTAGTCATCCTGACAGCATCTATCTGCCAAAGGTCCACCTCCTCCCCAGGCAGAGGCAGACGCCTCCCGTGACTCTGGGCAGCTCCACACAGGACCAAACCGTGACGCACACCCAAGCCTCACCCCAAAACTTGTGCCCTCCCTGTCCCTCTGCCACAACCGCCAAACACCCCTTCTCACCCCGCTCTGCCGAGTCTGCTCTGCTAATGAGGCCGTGCAGAGAGGAGCCGGCAGCGCGGGTCCCTCCCAGGTCCTGCCAGCTGGTCACCTACCTCCTTCAGGGCCGAGCCAGCTGCACCAGTCTCGTCTTCTCCCTGCTCCCCCAGAGCCCGTTACTCCATCTCCAGGCGGCCGGGCCTCCTCCCCACCAGGTCGGAGGGGTGGGGAGCCTCTACAGACTTGTCAAGGAAACAAGGCAGGGAAAACGCTCCCGGGAAGAGGGCTCGGAAGGGGCGGGGGCGGGGTGCGAGGACCGCAGCCCTGTCCCAGCACCTTGGTCACCCCGGCTGGCTCCAAGGTCTCTTTGGCCGGAGCGGAAACGTGGTTTCTCAAAAGTAAAGGAAGAGAGGAAGAAAGCGGGACAAACACGTAAAGAGCAAACCCCGGCCAGATGTGAGCTGCTGAGGAGCCTAGAACGCTCCCAGCGCATTTTATCCAAACAGCAGCCTCCCAGGATTAACTGTGTGTGTGCCCGGCTGGCTGGTGGCTGGCCAGGCCTCCGTGTTCCCGGCTGGCCCGGGGAGCCAGTCCGGGCTGGGGGTGAGGGCGGCCTCTTCTGTATGTCAACCGGCCCTATCACAACGTGGAGGTGGCTGGGAGCCCAGGATGAGGGTCTCCACACAGAGCAGGCGTCCAGGAAGGTGAGGCTCCAAGTTACTTGCTGTCAGGGGGATGAGCTGCTTCAAGGAACTCAGGCATGGCCTGAAGACAGCCCCAGGTCCAAACTGTGACAGATACCCGAGTCATCGTGTCCCATGGGGGCTCCACCTGGGGCCAGGGACTGGGCCAGGTTTAGGGGAACCCGTGAACTCTACAACAGAATGCTAGACAGTGTACATGTTTTGCTGTTTGGGGAAAATGCCAGTCCCTCAGAGTCAGCATTTCCACACTGCAAAGGTGAGGGCAGCCCTGCCCAGGGGGTTAGGGCCCCACCCACCCCCACCCCAGTGGGGGCGGGACTGCTCTGTCCGCATCAGACTGCTCCCTTCCTTGAGATGGAAACCGTTTTACCAACTTACACAAATGTCCCTTGTGAACAAAGCCCTGAGCTGCTTCCTAGGCCAAGCGCTGCCCCAGGCTTCTCCAGAACCGTCTATCCCTCTCTTCTGTGTCCCCAAACTTGGAATCAGAGTGATTTGCTCTGGGTCTTATCACACCACTGGAGAGAAAGGATCTGGACAGAGGAACTAAGCTGCTCTGACCACAGCAAAGTTCCAACCTGGGGTCCCCTGGCTCCCCAACTCCCTCCACCGCCCTTCTCTTCCTGGATTGGATGTCATATTTGTATTTTTTGTTTTGTTTTGTTTTATTGTCCTACTGAAGATCTTTCTCTCTCTCTCTCTCTTTCTCTCTCTCTCTCTCTCTCCACAAAGATGCTGATTTGGGATGTTCAGGACAAAACAAAAAGCCTGGGGCTGGGGGTTTAGCTCAGCGACATAAGCACCTGCCTTGAAAGCAGACAGTCGTGAGTTCGATCCCTGGTACCGATAAAAAGGAAAAAGACCAAAAACAAAAACAAAAAGCCTGTGCTTGTCATTCCTTATCTTGGTGTCCCCTCCTCGGCCACACCAGCATCTGGAGAGGCTAAGAGACTCAAAGAGGGAGGAGGATGAATGTGTAGGCATGATGCCCAGCAGCCACGATGTCTCACCCCCAGGCTGGGCACAGAATACCATCTGGGAAGAAGTGAGGATGGGCAGATTTAGAGAAGGAGGAGGGCTCTGGGAAGAAGATGCAGCCTGTGCAGGCTTCGTGGCCCCCTCCAGGGACCCCAATTTGAAGCGCCAACCTCTTAGGAGGAGAAGAAATGTTGTTGATCCCCCTGGTGTTCAGGGGACACTTAACGATGCTTGGTGAGATTGTACAACCTCTTCTCCATTGCAGACGGGACCTCTAGGAACCCTAGCAGACTTGGAGAAGGCTCAGGTTCTTCAGCATAACGCCTGAGGATTGGCAAAACTTGTACCCTTGGCTGCTTATCGACACAGGGAAACCCAGTGAAGAGCTTCTTCATTCCTGTAACATGAGGAAATTTCCTGCCCAGCACATGAACTGACTTCCCCAGCTACTCTGTGCCCTCACAGCCTGTGTGGCAGGGCTACCAGGGGGGCAGCCAGCAAGGCAGAAGAGCCAAGCAGGCGACAGCTATGAGACTGCTGCCAGATGCTGGAGGATCTGAGATTCTTGTGGGAAGGAACGCCCTGAAAGCAATGGGAAAGTTCCTTCTGGTCATTGAGGAGCCAGACCAACTCTAAAATTCACACAGCTGGGCAAAAAGCTCAAAGGAAGAAAAGATGTGCAAGGAGAAAGATTCCTCTCCCTTTCCCCATCCAAGATGGCTTTGATACTGAAGAGCTGGAAGACTACTGTCTTTGCTATAATCCCAAGACACACCCTGAGCGATGTCTCCTTCTAACAGGAGGCTGATGCTGGCTTGATGCTGTCTTCCCCTGACCCATCCTGGAGGTGCTGTCAGGGCAGCATCTCCATCCAGAGATAGGTTCAGAGTGTCTTATCTGAAACCACCCAGGACACATGTATAAGATGCAAATGTCACAGTGAGCATCTTACTGGAGTGGACTGCAGGCTCCCCCAGGCCCAGACCCTTGGCTATTTTGTGGCAGGAGAAATGAAGGCTATTCGTGATCTCACAACAGTTCAAGTCACCTTGTTCTATCAAATTTATTCACGCCAAGTTAAGTGGAAAACCAAGTTTTCAGAACTTTCTATATTTTGGGAATTTGGGATAAAGGATTGTGAACCTGTATATATTTTCACAATTAATAAATGTTTGTGGGGCAGATACCAAATACTAAAATGTTCACGATAACTATCATCACTGTGAGTGTAATTTTTTTCCTTCCCTCCTCTTAGTTAAACCCCCACATCTCCCAAGAGATTAGCAAGGAGATGACTCATTTTCCATAATGAAGAAATGGGAGGGGGCATTGTGATATTAAATGAGACCAAGAGAGCCCGGGACTTCCCAAGACATTTGTTCAAGGCAGAAGACTCAGAGATATGGGAAATTCTAAGAAACAGAATTGAGGTCGACTCTCAGGTGGCACCAACACAGTCCTGTCCAGGCCAACAGGCAAATGGGTGAATATCCCAAGGCCAGCTCCCAAAGAGTGCAAGTCTGTATTCAATAAAAGGAAATAAAACATGTCACCAAACCAAAGAGCTTGCCAGGTTCCTAATGCCCTTTGTCATCAGCTTCATTTCTGCTTTCACATTGTGAGTAGGAAAGATGGAAAATTTGGCAAGCAGAGGATGCTCCTGCAGGCTTGCCTTCTTCCATCCTGATGTAAGCGCCCCAAACTACCACAACTGGAACACTCTTGGTTCACCCAACACCTTTCCTGGGAGTGAAGGGCAGGCAGGAATCTCAGCAAACAACATGGTGACAGACCAAAACCACAACCAGCAGCAGGGCCTGGGACAGATGTCATGAGCCCTGGGATGATGGCTTAGGAGTCAAAGCCAGCCAGAATCACAAAAGCTCCCACCTCCAAAGTCTTAAATAGGCTGGAAGCCAAGCCCACCCTAAACCTTCCTAGGAGCTCACACTAACCAAAGGTGTCTGTGTTACCCGCTACCCCCATTTCCTGGATATTCCCTGGTGGCTCCATTTCCCCATCCGGGGCAGTTTCTGGGATGAGGCCCTGCAAACTCACAGATAAACATTCCCTGGAACCCCTGGTGCAAGAGGCAGTACACTGCGTGACCTCTCCTATTTGGCAATTCTTCCTCCTACCCAGGCACATCACCACTGCTTGCTGTCTGTTTCTTTATGACTGGAAAAAGCTATGTGACCTCAGTTTCAGTCTGGCGGACACTGAGTTCCCGATAAGCACAGCATGTCATTAGTGGTAGGCAACGTGATTGTTTCCCATGATGGCCGTCACGTCCCGCCTTCCCGGCTATTTTGGGCTGGGCAGCCCAGTTATCCTACAAAGGCTGAGACTTACACTGCAAATTTTTGAATTCCATTCGGCAGGGCTGCGACAGGCAGGCTGGGATTGGTGGCATTCCATTGCCAAGGGGTGGGAGTGGGGAGAGCCTCTGCAAAGATAGGGAGACGTTGTCGATAGAAAAGTGGAGAGTTGGCAGGCAGATCCAGCCACCTGGCTGCTGGCCCACACTCACGGCTCCTGGCTGGTATAGTCCGTATCCTGGGAGGCTCGTGCAGGTGGCGCTCAGGGCTGGGAGCTGCAAGAACAGATCAGGGTAATCTACTAATCCCCTCCCGCCGCTTCCGTACTGGACTAAACCGAGCTTCTACGTTCCTGCCCTTCTTGAGACAAGGTCTTGCTAAGTTGCCCAAGTTAGCTTTGACTTTGTGATCCTCTGCCTCAGTCTCTCAACCAGCCGGGATTGCAAGGGTGTGCACTATCTCACCTGGTGAATCACTTTCTCACCTGAAGGAAGCCACAGCACAGGGCTGTTCCCTCTCCCAGGAGGACTTCTGGAGGTCCGTGGGAGAAAGCACGTGTGCAATCTTCCATACGCCGTTTACGTACCTTCTAGCTTTAATCCAGCCTTGCCTTCCTGATACCTCAGTCTCTTTATCCCTACATTGGTAAAGAATGCTTTCCTTACACAAACAGGCTGAACGATGGAGCAATGGTCCACTTAATAAATAAAGTGAGAGCGCCCCCTGGTGGGTTGTGCATCCTATGCATTTAATATATGAAACCAATCATGCAGAAACACATTCATGAATGATTGAATGGTTCCAGTGCGGAATGTATCATTTTTACATAGTCACAAAACAGAAAGCGAGGCGTTCGGAAAGAAGTGTTGTGGTTCATAACGTAATTCTCTAAAATATGGCAATTTGGCAGGCTGAATGCTTTGAAAGAGACCAGAAGCAGCCCAAGAAGCAAAGACCATCTCTGTGACTTTCTCCTGCTCTCCTGTCTCCTGTCCTCTTTCCCGTGGGGCGTCGTAGAAACTAGCGCCCTGCCCCAACACCAGCCACGAAACCTAGAAGTATTACTCTAACCTTCGCCCAGCTCTGTGCAGGGCTGGTCATAAGGGAAGACTCTGAACTGCCTTAGCTGGTGTTTGTTTGTTTGTTTGTTTTTGTACTGGGGAATGAACTCAGGACCTTGCACCTGCCAGGTGGGCACTTATGCCACTGAGCTACAGCCCTTGAACTATCTTATCTGAGGGCAGGTCACATAGCCTTCATTCTAGAAGGGGCCCCCTCCATGCTTGAGAAGAAGGAATGTTGCACAAGAGACCAAGAAGAATCTGAGCTGAGAACTCTCTGGGCTCCCTCCCTCTTTCATTCCCATTAGGTCATATCCCTCCTTTCAATCACATTTCTATACACCGTTTATTCTTCATCAACTCCAAGCCTAAAAATAGTTTTCCTTGGGTCTTTGGGTATTCATAAAGTTTATGTCCCATAAAGCTTTCGGTGAAATTTTCATGCATTTCTCTCGCCACCCGTCTCTTGTTGCAGGAGTGTGGGCTGTGATCCTGATGCTGGATGACAAAAAGAAAGCTTCCTTCCCACCCCTACAGAGCCCCTGCTGGAGCCTCAAAAGGTGCAGACAGGACTAAGTAATCCCAGCACTCTGCGAGACTGAGGCAGGAGGACTGCAAATTCAAGCCTAGCCTGGGAAACAGTCACTTAGTGAGACCCTGTCTCAAGATAAAAAATAAAAAAGATGGGATGTTATTCAGTTCAAAGGCCCCGAGTTTAATCCCTAGTACTGCAAAGAAAAGAACTGAATAAAAGCCTGGTTGCGTTTGACCATGGAGGCATGGTTGACCTCGAGGGGGAAAATTTATAGCACAGGCTCTCTAGAGGGTTGTGGTAGTTAACCATAGTGTCAGCTTGAATAAGGAATGTCCAAAGGATTGGTTTAGCTTAGGACGATGGGCTCACTGGAAGGGAAGACCCACCCTGGGTGTGGGTGGCACCAACCAACAGGCTTGTAGCCTGAATGCAATGAAAAGGGACAGGAAAAGGCAGTCTGGCTTCTGCTTCTTTGGAGGGACTCCAGTCCTCTTCACCACCCTATGATGTCTGCTGCCAGACTTCCAGTGTGGACTCATCAGCTTTTCAGTGTGGGCTCTCTGGCTTCCTGATACAGAGTCCTATGGGGCTCTGCGATGTGCTTTGTCGGGCCTTCAAATTCTGGCTATGTCCTTCAGGTCTCCAGCACACACAGATGGCCTTTTCATGTCTCCACACCTGACAGTCCAAGCAGCCATTGACCACTAACCGACACAGAGATAGTGTGATGATTCTCGCTTCCAACATGCCGCCCTTTCACCTAGTCTTTGTTTGAAGAAGTTTTATGTGCACTTATGATTATGTCCAGATAACATAAGGATGTCTTTTGACCCTTTGCAGTAACACAAAAATCATAGCTATCCAAAAGGACGTCATAAGGGCTTGGTAAAATACAGTGCAGTCACGCAGTGGAACACCCTGCAGCCAATGAGAGGATGGATTGGCTTTCTTTGTAATAAGTCAGAGTCTTTCACTTCTTGGGAAGTGAAAAATAAAGTCTCATTTAAAAACATATAAGTAAATGGAAAGGCAAACAAGACTCCACATCATAAAAACCTCAGTTCTCTCCCAATTAATCTACAGATTCACTGCAATTCTACTCAACACCCCAAAGGGTTGAGGGTAGGTGGGTGGCTGGGGGCATGTGTCCTACAACCAATGAAGGCTTTTAAAAGACAGTAATGAAGTAGCACTGGAGCAGACACAAAAAATTACATCAATACAACATAATGGCCCCCAAACAGACCCATGTGCATATGGAAATTTGACCTAATGGCAAAACGGCATTGCATACAAAGTCAGTGGAGAAAGAATGTATTATTTCCTAATAATAGTAATAGGGCATCCATGAAAGAAGAATAAATGGTCAAAATGTAAGAAAAGATATATCACTCCTCAGTAATAGGCCATGAGAAGACACCCAATGCACCCTCCATTAGCAAAAATTTAAATGCCTGTTAATTATCTGTGGAGCAAATAGATCTGTCATTCATTGATACAGCTGTCTTTCATTTTTATAAAGTCAGATTACACCAAAAAAAAAATACCCAACATACTGTTTAGGGATATGTATCTATGTGCTAAAACTATACACAGTAAAGCAAGAAGATAATCAGCACAGCCCCCTGGGCTGTAGCTGCCTCTAAGGACAGGAGACAGTTGGGGACGGAAAGAATGCTTTAAAGATACCAGGCATAATGTACTATGTCTTAAGGTGGAAAGCACATATAGACCTCACAATAAATAAATGACTTAAATTTGCAACATAATAACACATGGAGTGTGGACAGGACTCGATTTAGGAACAGGAGTGTGGATGGTACTCAATTTAGGAAAACAAGAAACATTAGTGATTACAAGAATGGTTTGTCAAAAAATAAGGTTTATATGCCTCTTTTGCAGTAGAGTGGGTTCAGCACCTTTCCATTTTTTCTCAAGAGAACTGGACTCCTTTTGTAGTGGGAACTCTACTCAGTGTTTTGCATCTTATACAATAACATACTGTGAACACGCTTTGGGGAATAGATATTTTAAATACTATTTTTAACATCTACCTAGAATATCACAACTATATCATAAAATATAGTGCTTTTAGATTTTTAAGTTGTTTATTTTCTCGATGTTACAAATTTTGGTCGTATCCGTTCCAGAATGTCACTATCTTCTTGCATCCCCCCTTGTTCTTTTTCTCTTGTCAAATAATGGCAACCCTTCTACGGATGTGTCTTTGTTGTAGATCCCACTCATGAGGGAAAACATGACTGTTATTTCACTTAACACAATGATCTTCAGTTCTATCCATTTTCCATTTTTAGGGGTAACTCATCGTCCTGAGTTTATGGTTTGTTAGCAGGTCATAATACACCTCTCAGAAGAATCACAAGAAACTAGTAGCAGTGACTGCCTCCAGGCAGGGAAAGCAGGGGATCAGTAATGGGAGGGGTACTTTCCACCTCACACGGTTTATGTGATGTGAATTTATTCCCCGGTGCACCTGGTATTTGGGGGACGGCGTCTGAGATGTGAGCATGCAGAGGCCGAGGCATCCTCCTGCTTCGGTCTCTAGTGGGACGCCCTATTGGTGCCTGGACGCTCTGGGGGACCAGGTCACGTTCCAGCGATGCTTCTTCAGAGGCCCAAAGGCTCTGGCTGGGCAGGAGATGGAGGACAGGGAGGCCTCGGACCCCCTTTTTCAGTATGCCGGTCCTCGTACCCAGCCCAGGACCTGGCTGTTCGCGGCGCTCTTGGTCCAGGCTATGGAAAGTGATCAGCATCGGGGGGTGGCCGGCTGGGAGGGCCCAGCAAAGGGCCTGGAACCGGAGGTCTTCGCACCTCCACCTGTATTGGGCTGGTTAATGTCTTTGCACCTCAGGGGAAGCAAAATTCCGGGATCCAGTGCACAAGCCCCGAAAGCTAATGCCATCCTGTTCACCCGCGGAACTACAACTCCCAGTAGTCCGGTGCGCAGGCGCAGAAAGAAGCCATGGTGTGTGTTTGTGGGGGAGGTAGAGCAGGGGCTGCTGGGAAAGTGCGGGCGGGACAGGACGCGACGGAGTAGAGCGCAGGCGTAGAGCAGAGGCCGCCGGGAGCGCGCGGAGGGGGCGGAAGTAGCCGCCCGCCTCGTCCGGCTCAGTGCAGCGAGGCGGCCGCCGGCGGGCACCCGAACCCGGCCCGCAGCGGGTGAGTGACGGCGCGCCCACGGCCTGGCGCAGTCAGTCGCGGCCCGCCCCCTTGGCCCCGTGGGCTTTGTCCTTGTCTGGGTCCCTGACTCGCGGCATACAGGGGCGGGACACCCTTTCCTGGGCGCCGCTGCCCTCGCCCGCTGACTTTAGATGCTGCCCTGGTCGTGCGTCCCGTGTCCTGAGTGATGAGGCAGGCTCCGCTCCCGGTCTGGCACTTCGTCACACCTGTAACCGACTGACGTTCCCGCTTCCCCCCCTCCCCCCCGCCGCCGTCCGCCTTCCTGCTCCGTCCAGGCTCTTTTACTCTCAAGGACTGAACCGTCTACCAGGCAGCACAAGCACTCTCCATCTTTTTGCTCGTAAAATTTGCACCCTCTTCACCGTTTCTTTCTGCCGCTTGTTCACCTAGTCTGGATTTTCCTGTCCCTGGGGACTGGCACCCCCACGCCCATTCTCGTTACTTGGTTTGCCTTTCCGTCTGAGCAGTCCTTTCTTATCTGCTGTTTCTAGACCTGGCTTAGGGGTCCAGTGGCCATCCTGCATCCACCTCCAGCGAATCCTCTCTCCAAAGTGCCTTTCCCCACTAACGATCGCAGAAAACCAGTCTCAGTGCACCATTACCTATATTTCTCCTCCCTGTCGTGGGATTGTATGATGGCATCTTGGCCTGCTACTTTTTCAACAGAACCTCGGCTTGACAACCTGAGTCTGATGGTTTCCACAAGACCTGGTTAGCCAAAATTTTTAAAAAGTGCCGGTCTCAGAGGATCCGGTCCCTCCAGCTTCACTGCCCAGGACCGCACCACAGGCTCACCTTCCAGCTTTTCCCAGGCCTCTTGGCACTCAGTTCAGCTGGAGCCTGCGGGCATAATGGGCACCTCCCTTTCTGACTTCCAGAGCCTTCTGTCTGTGCAACGGCCCTGTGGAAGGATTTCTAGAGGAGCCAGCCTGCTCCCCTCTGGATGTGCACACCCTAGAGCATATTCAGGGAGAGGACACAGGTGAAGTGTAGATTTGTCCAGGCACCGCCACAAGGCCACCGCCAAATTCTCATTCTCTTCCTGGTTTTCTTGTCCAAATAGACTTGATCACAAAAGATGGTATTATGGCCCAGGGTGATAGAGGAAATCATAATCTTGCAAATAGATTGGTGTGGCTATAATGCCCCTCAGGTAAGGTGTACATCTTGTCATTCGATACCTCCTATTAGCTAAATGTCTCCTTTCTTCTCTCTGCACCTGTACCTGCGTTCCCACAGCCTTTGCTAATTCAGTGAGTGTATTGGTGTGAGCTGCTAGTTCTTGGTATCATTCTTATCCAGTTGTCCATCTGCACACCTGATCTGTGGTGCCTACTGAGCATAGGTGTCCTGAGGTGAAGTCCGGGGTATGATGGGGAGCAGTAGGCATTGCCCTGGTGGTTTCTGCTGCTCTTCCTTAGGGTTAGGGTTCTGCTGCTCTTCCTTCGTGGCTTTGGAGGTGAGCGTTTTATCTGCAGGATACAGAGAGCCCTTCCTGTGAGTCTAAGAATTTCCTGAAGAGGAACGTGATGGTCCAGGGCAGCTTTACAGGCAGGTGCACAAGTGCTTTGGCCTTGGCCCTTTCAGAAGAGGAGCCGGGATCTGGGACTGTTGTCCTGACATGGATCAGTGGAATGATAAGGAAGTTATTTTTCTGTCCTGTTTGAGGAGTGGTACCAGGAAGCAGGGAACAAAACCCAAGCAACAGTTGGTTCTTTTCCCTTAGACACACCCTGGACTATTGAGGTTTTTATATTAAACAACAACATAGGTGAGATTTAAAACTTTCACGTGGATTTTTTTTTTTTTTTTTTTTTTTTTTTTTTGTACCAGAGATAGAACTCACAACCTCATGCTTGCCAGGGCAGGCACTTACACTGCTAAGCAAAACCCCGGGCCCCCTACATTGAATTTTTTTTTTTTTTTTTTTGTCTTTTTGAGGCAAGGTCTCTGCAGTTCGGGCAGGCCTTGAGCTCACTTTGTAGACCAGGCTGGTCTCAAACTCACAACGATCCTCTTGTCTCAGCCTCCCAAGTGCTGGGATTACAGGTGTGAGCCACCACACCTGGCTGATTTTATTTTTAAAGAACTTTTGTGTCATTCTCCTTTTCAGATTGGTTAGGAAAAACATAACTGATAATGGAGAAATCTGCGAAGGTGTTTTTCTTTCCATCTGCATTTCTTTTGAACCCTCCGAGTTTCTCTGCAGTAAACCAGGATTAGGTGGACTGACAGCTCCTGCTTGACCCCTGTGCAGGCAGCACAGTGTGGTGAAGGGCGCGAGTGTGGGCCTGGGGGTGTGCTTCTTGCTGCTGCATGTCTCAGGTGCTCCACACTGAGGATGAATAGGTGGCTTCCTACATAACGGTCCAGGTGCACTGTCCGGAAGTGAGCCCTGGTGTGGCTAGATTGGGGTTGTTTTACTGCCGTGTTTTCAGGCAATCTGGAAAAATGTGGCATGATACTGTTTGGGTGTCATTTTCAGCTAGGAAGGTGACTCTTTTGCTAAAGTTTCTTGAATAACATTAGTGATACAGACTAAGCAGACACAACCATGCTGTGATACAGCAGATTTGAACTGCAGAGCCCCGTCCTGTAGAAGAGGCACTGTGTGAGCAGGAGTGACCCTGGGGCCACACCCTAACCCTAAGGAACCTGTGAATTCCTACATTATAAGGCAGAAGGAAATTGAAACTGCTAATCTCCAACCTGAAAAGGGGGAGATCAGCTTGCAGTTTCTGCTTGGGTCCAGATTGGCCTCAGGGTTCTTAAAAGTACAAGCCAGGGAGGCAGAAGAGTGAGGGAAACAGTGGCAGAAAGGACCAGGAGGTGCCAGGTTGCTGGCATTGGAGCAGAAGGAAGGGTCTACAAGGCCAGGACAGTGGACAGCTCAGAAGTTGGAAAGGGCCAGCACATGGGTTATGGCTGGGAGCCTGGGAAGGGAACCAGCCCTTGCTTATAGCTTAGTGAGGCCCGCTTAGACTCCTGTCCTCCTGGCCTGTGGACCACCAGTTTGCGGTGGATACACTCCCTGTCTGTAGTAATTAGTTACAGCAGCAGTGGAAACTAACACAGCCCTCGTGAGTGGTTGAGGCTGTAAATTAAGTCATCCCCAACTGTCTGTGGTTGTGTGCAGGATGTGGCGGGGAAGGGAGAGTGCAGAAGTCAGGTGGCTGGGCTGCGGAAAGGAGGTATGGCCTCCGTGATCCCTAAAGCATGATTTTTTCCTTTTTTCCTCTTGAATTTTCAAATACCCTAGCAAGCTTAGTAAGCAAAAGCAAGGGGTTGGGTGACATCTCTAAGGGGCCCAGCCTGTAGCAGGCATCCCCAAATGTTCCTTCCTCTGAGTCCTGACATCCTGCGTTACCTCAGTTGCCTCTGGCTGAAGAGTCTGCAGGTTAGAAAGCTTTGCTCCCGACTGAGCAAGCAGCAGTGAGCTGGGCAGCAGGCAGAATGGGTGCTCTGCGGCCGGCCGGCCTCCTCTCTGGGGTGAGACAGTCCTCTGTGGGAGAGGCTTTGCCAAGAGTTGAGCGTGGAGCCTTCCTTGCCCAAGCCCTGCCTGGATCCTGAAAGGGAGGAGTCTGCCCTGGCAGCTGCCCTAAACCTGTTTGATCTGCCACGTGTAGCATAGCTCTCCAGGGGAAGCTGGAGAGGTCCACTGGAGAGGGAAGCTGTGTGGGTGCCACTGGGCCCTCAGCTTAGCCATGGAGAGCCTGTGGTCTCAACCCGGGGGTGTGCCTCACTCCCAGCTTGGGGCAGCAGCCTGGAGCAGCGCCTGGGTGCGCATGGAGAACACACTGCTGCTCCCCCTCCTGTGGTGTGAATGCTGGGTGGGGAGGGAGAAATTAGGTCTGGGAGACTTTCAAGTAGCTGTCACTCTGGTGGCTTTGTGGCGATGTTATACCCAGAGCAGGGTTGGCACAGGAGGAAGGAAGGTGGCAGTGCGTGGTTCTCAGGCTTCCCTGCCCAGAGGACTGTTCACAGGCCTCCTGCCAGCGCCCTTGGCTGGCTCAGGAGCCTGTGACTTCTGCACTGCAGCCTCTTGGTCCTCTGTGTCTGATCAGTACAGTCAGAACGTGACGCTGCAGGGGAGACTGACAGACTTCTTGTCCCAGTACAGCAAACATGTAAGTGGCTTCATTCCCCGAGGGGAAGAGACAAACTCAAATGCCGCTTTCCTTGGGGACTGACCTTGTGTGTATCTTGTCTCTTCTCTCCACCGCTCACTTTTGTGGCTCGAGGCTGGCAAAAAAGTAAAACAAGAAACATAAATGCCATTTTAAGTGGCAGTGTGCGCTCTTCTTCTACAGTCTTTCAGGCCACCAACCCGGATGGGGCTGAGGATCAGGTGAAAAGCCAGCGCACGTGAGGGGCAACTCGGGGGTCCTGAAGGAGGGATGGAGACCAGGAGAAGATACGCTGGCGCTGAGTCTTCTGGAAGTAGGCAAAGTCCTGCTGCAATGACAGAGGTCACCTCCATTCACCAGAGCTGGTGGGAGGCCCCCGTCCCTGCCTGTTACGGTTGAGCCCTGAAATACCCCGCAAGGGTCTCGTTTCAGAAGTGCGGCTTTTGGTGATTGGCCCCTGGGACCCTGGGTGTATTCGTCATTGAGTTAGAAGCTGCATGCTCTTAGCGGCCAGCCTGGCGGGGAAGAGCAGATCACTAGGGGCCTGACCCAGAAGGGTGTGTTCTTGTCTCTGGTCCTCCCTTCTTCCCTCCTCCTGGCTGTCTTTCACCCAGGCCCTCCCACCGCACCCTTTCTGCCTTGGAGCTAGTCAGCCATGGACTGAATCTTCCAAAAGCCATGAGCTAAATAAAGTAAGCTTCTTCTAAGTTGTGGATGTCAGATATTTTGTTCCAGTGGTAGCACAGAGACTAATCTAGTGTCCTGGTCTTCAGTAGAGCCCCCTCCCTTCGGGAGCTCAGTTCCGAGGCTAACTTGGAACCGACCCAGGGGCAGGCAGCCCAAAGGAGATTGTGGGGACAGGTGTCTTTTTCTAGGGTGCTGTAGTAATGACTCCAATAGTAGATGCAGCTTTTCATACTTTTGTTCTCTTGCAATAACAGGAACTCAGTGTCCCAGAGACTTTGAATCCAATGTCAGTGCCACTGGGCCAAAACCCAGGTGTCCTGGGGCCTCACTCCCCTTGGAGGCTCTGGGGAGGAATCCATTGCTGTCTTCCAGCTTCTGGGGTCCCTGATGCCCCTTGTAAGTCCAGCTTCTTCTTTCTCAATCGTGCAGCCCTCTCTTCTGTCCACATGAGTCTCCCTCTGCCTCCCTTTCATGAAAAGACACTGACATATTTCAGGCCAACCCAGGCAGCCTCCCTCCCTCAAAGTCTAGGCCACATTTGTGAAATCTGCACTGCCCTCGGCAGTCACCTCCCCAGGTTCCTGGATGTTTGGAGCCAATGTCAGTCTCCCCAAGGAGGGAAGATTTGTTGAGGGTTGGGGATGGAGTCCCCACCATAGATACAGGACAGAAAGGGAAGAGGCAGTAAAAGCATGGAATTCTAGATGGTTCTGGTTCCCTGTGGTCACGGGCGATCGGCAGGTAGAGGCAGCCCTGTGTGTAGAGATGTGGACAGACAGAATCTGGAATTGTAGCTAATCCTGTATTGTGCAATTTGAGAGCTCCAGGGAGATGAGGCCTTCTGTGCAGGCTGCAGCAGGGGTCAGGTGCTTATTGGTAAGAATGGTAGCAGTCAGGCACTGAGGGAAGTCCTGTCCCCTGACCCGACCAGCAGCATGGCCCCAGGAAGGAAACAGACCAAGAGCAGAAAAGTCCTTCACCTAAGGTCACATAACTAGTAAATGGCAGAGGGAAGGTCTGGATCATTTGGAGGCCTTCAGAGTCATCGAAGTGAGACAGGACTGAGGCAGAGGTGTCGGGTGGGCACAGATAGGTGAGCTGGTGTCTGCTTGGGGCACATATGGGGCTCCCAAGTGCTAGAATGTACTTAGTGGGATCACATGTTGGGGCCCACGTGTGGGAGGAGTGGGCTAGACAGCAGGTGCCCCGGCCTGCCTCTCAGGAGAAAGGTCAGGGTGCAAAGGTGAGGGGTTTCCTTCACAGAGGTCAAGACCTAGGAGAGCCCAAGGTCACTGGAGGACTACAGAGTGAGGTGGGTGGCACAGGGCTATCGGGGGGCCAACCCGTAAGACCTGCAGAGAGACATGGATAACACTTGAGCAGTGCAGCCTTGGGCACAGGCCAGCCAGAGGGAAGGGAGCATGTGTCAGGTCACAGGCAGGGGTGCAGAGGGTGTCGGGGGCTGGAGGAGGGTTTTCATTCCTTCATAGGTTTGCTTCTCCGCCCTTCATTCAGCTGTAGCTGTGTTGTGCACACTCACAGCGTCCCTGAGTGTGCAGTCTGGAGAGTGAGTGGCAGGCAAAGTGGAGACAGGGGACATCACGCTGAGGAGGAGCTGAAGGAGCCAGTGCACTGCCAGGGAACAGAGCACAGGCAAGCAGCTCCGGTCCATGCCCAGGCTGCTGGGAGCGTGAAGATGGATGTGCTGGTGACTCGAAGGACAGAGGAGCTGGCCAGGGAGGCTGGCATATCACAGTTCATAACACAGTCTGTTGGCAGGCACTGTCCACATTCCTGGACCCGCAGCTCAGATGTGGCAGCCGAGAGGCTCAGTCATCAGGGCCTTGACCTGGGCCTGCAGATTTGCAGGATGGCTCAGGTAGGGGTCACAGGATGTTGAGGGGCTGTTGAAGAAGTGACTTAATGGCCCACCTGGAATTAGGGGTTTTGTTTTTTGTTTTTTGTTTTCCATTAAAAAAATAGATGGTGAGTTGGTCCTGGTTGTCTGTGGACTTGCCTGTGGGCAAGTCCCTGTTGCATAGAGCTCCAGGCAGAGGAGGCCGAGTACCAGAGGCCCTAAAGGGTGCAGAGCTACAGGGAGAGTTTCCAAAAGTGAACGTGAACCAGCGATGTGACGAGCAGGGTCAGGGTACCCCAGGCTAGGGCACACCAGTGGCTCACCAGGCTCCTCAGCAGGTGGGGAGAGGGGAGGGCTGTCAGGGTTAGGGGCAGTTCCTGGGACACAGGAAGCTGTGGCACTGGCGCCTGCATGACAGAAGGAGGCTGCCGGTGTGGTTAGGGTCAAGGATGGCCATGGAATGGGCAGGAGCTGGCGGTAGGACAGCTTCATGTAATGGGCCCTGCCACCAGGGTGGACGTTGGGGAAGGCCAAGGCCACGGCCACTCCTCTGTGTGCTCAGTGCTACCTTGTGGGAGTTCGACACTCATACAGGAAAGTGTATCTCCTGGTGCTTCTGTGAGCATTTTTACTTAGGCAGCCCCTTTCCCCGACTTCTGAGTGCAGGCTGGAGCTGAGTAGGCTTGAGGGAGAGGGATCAGTACTTAATGTTTTGAAATACTGTGTTTAAGGTACATGTTGGAAGTGCAGGCAGCTCTTTGCATAGGAGGGGACAGAGGAATTCAGGGCTCAGTGGCCGTGTCTGAACTAAGGACAAAACACTGAATGTCTTGGCCCTTGCTGGGGTTGGAGAAGGGACAAGGAGGCAGAGTTGTGCTTACCTCAATGAGCCACCTGCACCAGTGGGAAGGCCTCGGTGAGCAGCCCTTTGACCACTGCCACGGGCCAGGCCTTGCCCAAGGCGTGTACCCCAGAGGCCTGACCCTGCAGAGTGTGCTCAGCCCCTTAAGAGCAGGAACCTTCTCCCAGCCATCTCTGAGCAGCCAGCCACACACACGTTTTTCTCCTTGAATGTGACCCTGTGAGCTAAAGCCTCGGCCTGTCCAAAGAGGGAAGGGAAGGCGCTGGCTTCCACAAGGACCATTGCCCTGTTGGGTCCTGCAGCTTGGAGCAGGATGCCTCTGGGTCTGCTGGACCTCAAGCCCTTGTGGGCAGAGTGCATGAGGGCCCAGGACAGCATGGAGGTGCTGGTCCCAGCCCCTCCCAGGTGCTGCCTGCAAGCCCTGCAAGCCCTGTACCAGTATTCTTTGTTTTTCCCTCGAGGAGGAGGGAAGCTGCAAGGTACCCCCTTGGTCCCAGAGGACCCAGAGGACCAAGTGTTTTCCTGGTGACAGTAGCAGGTCTCAAGAGTGGAGAGTGGCTGGCTGTGCCCCACCACAGAACTGGGACCTGCTTTCCAGTGTTCCGGTGCAGCAGTGCGACAGACCCTGGGCTGTGCCTGGCACTGTGTGGACTGTGGAGCAGGCGGGGTGCATGGGTGTGTAGACCCACAGTTCCTGTCCAGCACTGGCACTATGCCCAGGAACTGTGCCTTGGGGTGTGGCCAAACCTTGCAGCGATTCCCATAGGCTTTTCCAGCCTGTGCCCAGGACAGGCCAGGCTCCAGGCAGCACATGAGGCCAGGACCCTGATTCCTGCATAGTTCACATTTGTAGAAGGGCGCCAGAGAGTAGGTTCTGCCAACAACTGAAAAGTTTCTGTGTGGCTCAGATGTACTTAATGTTTAAATGTTACAGAAGCCGAACCCAGGGAATAGAGAAGCAGTCACCTCATGAGCCCTCGTTTACTCTGTGCTAGGCGTGGCCTGGGAGCCAGGGGTAGAAATGAGCAAACTAGCTGTGTGATATGCCAGTGGTAACTTCGGCTTGCTCAGATCTGCAGCCCTGCTCCTCTACCCCGGCTGCCCCGCTTGCCTCCCCTTGCCTGCCGTGAGATGCCAGCCCACACAAAACCTCTTTATCACACTCAGCTTTCTGTCTGTCCAGCTGGTACCAGAAGACGACTAATTTTGCTTTGGAAGACTTCACGTCTTGCTCAATAAAAGTAAAGATATTGCTGCAGTCAGGACTTACCACGCTGTGAAAGTGATGGAATCCTATTTCTCCTGGGCAGACCCGAGTTCCGAAGTCAACCTGTGCAGTGCAGGTAGCCAGGAAACAGTGGCCCCCATGCTGACCCCTGTGCTCTCTCCTTGCATGCAGGTCCCACCCGACACTCAATCTGATGCCTGTCCAGCCCTCCAACCACCTGGAATGGAATGAGCCTATGCACTCCCTCCGGATCAGTGTGGGGGGCCTCCCTGTGCTGGCGTCCATGACCAAGGCTGCTGATCCCCGCTTCCGTCCCCGCTGGAAGGTGATCCTCACGTCCTTCGTGGGCATTGCCCTCCTCTGGCTGCTCTACTCCCACCGTGCAGCCCCCAGCAGGTCCCCCACCCCCAATGCACACAACTGGAGGCTTGGCCAGGCACCCGCCACACGGTACAATGACACTTACCCCCTGTCGGCTCCCCAAAGGACACCGGGTGGGATCCGCTATCGAATCGCCATCATTGCTGACTTGGACACGGAGTCCAGGGCCCAGGAGGAAAACACCTGGTTCAGTTACCTGAAGAAGGGCTATTTGACTCTGTCAGACAATGGGGACAAGGTGACTGTGGAGTGGGACAAAGACCACAGTGTGCTGGAGTCCCACCTGGCGGAGAAGGGCAGGGGGATGGAGCTGTCCGAGCTGGTTGTGTTCAACGGGAAGCTGTACTCTGTGGACGACCGCACGGGGGTGGTCTACCAGATCGAGGGCACCAAGGCTGTGCCCTGGGTGATTCTGTCTGACGGCGATGGAACCGTGGGCAAAGGTAATGGACCGCTCTCTGCAGGGCTTTGACCAGATGCTGGAGCTCCAGGCCAGCTAACCATGGTCTGGTTCATAGCAGAAAAGCAGTCCAGTCCTTCTTCCCTAACCCATGGACCCAACACCCAGCCCTGAACAAAATCTTACTGTCGTCAAACAAAGTCATCTCTAGACTAGAACCCTGGCACCTGGGGAGTTCCTTCCAGAAGAAGTTTTAGGGCTGTGGCCCCTGCACTCGCTCCCTCTGTGTCCCTTGTTAGAGTCTCCTGTGGCATCTCAGGATGGCACAGGGACTCCACCCACCAGGCACTGCAGCTTGAGAGTGCTGGTCTGCTTTTCTGGGTCTCAGCTGAGACGTGGACCTGAGTGTGCCGGCGGTACAGGTCAGCTGCTGCCTAGCCTGCCCTCCTGGCCCTGGGGACAGGGTCTGCCTGGGAGTAGAACCTGTCGGCTCCAGCATTTCCCCGTAGGAGTTACTGCTGCCCCAGGGTGGGGACAGCCGCGCAGCCCTGACACTGGGGAGGGACCTGTGAGGTATAAAGGGTATCAGCAGAAGACTGACGCGAGATGCTATTTGTCAGATTCGTGTGGCTGCTCCCTCTAGGACACCAGCCACCAGTGTGGGCTTTCTGTGCAGGAGGACCATGGTGACCCTGCCTGCCCCATCATACCAATAAGAAAACCTCTTCCATGTCTGCCCAAGACAGGCTGCTGGCAGGGGCCAGCTCCACACAGATGCCAGGGAGAATGTCGATCACCCATTGTCCACCTCATGTCTGTCACAGTCTTAGACCACCCTGCTGTGGTCCTGCTCTTCTCCACTGGCGGGGCCTCCAGGGCTGGCTGGGCTGGCTGGGCTGGCCGGGGTCAGGTTCTTAAGATAGGCAGCAGAGCTCCCGGAAACGAAAGCGTCTTAACCGAGGAAGTGGCCTGGGAGACTGCCTGGGTTGCAGCTCTCTCCAGAGGCGCCTGTGGTGAGCACCCTGCCTCTGCATCCTGTGGTGGGAGGACTGCAGCTTCAGTCTCCTGGGAGCCAAGAAGCTTGCAGGGTGTTTGGGAAAGTGAGGGCAAGTCCAACCCTAGCATGTCTGGATGGGGGGCAACACGGACAGTCAGAGGCTCACTCTGGCCGGAGCTGTGCCAGTAAAGTGAGGCCCAAGAGGGGGCCGCTAAAGAAGCTCTGGGAGCGCTGAGGGGAGGGCAGAGCCTCTGCAGGGGGTCCTAGATGAGTGGGCCTGGGGGACAGAATGGCCCTGGAGGCCAGGCAGAGAGGAGGAGAGCAGGAGGGAGGTGGAAGCCTCCCTGTGGGCCCTTCGCAGGCCCCTGCCCCAGCCTCTTGTCCTCGCCTCCAGGGAAGTTTGAGGCAGGGACTTCAGTGTCCAAGGTGCTGGACCTAGTGATGGTGGCGCCTCTCAGGCACCTCCGCTCTCATTGCCCCAGGCTTCAAAGCTGAGTGGCTGGCTGTGAAGGACGAGCGGCTGTACGTGGGCAGCCTGGGCAAGGAGTGGACCACGGGCACCGGCAAGGTGGTGAACGAGAACCCGGAGTGGGTGAAAGTGGTGGACCACAAGGGCAGCGTGGACCATGAGAACTGGGTGTCCAGCTACAATGCTCTGCGGGCAGCTGTGGGGATCCGACCGCCGGGTAAGAGGCCCCTGATGCACCGCCCAGAGTGGCATGACTGTCCAGCGGGTATCGGGTGGCTCTGGAGCTGTGCGCACTCCACGTGCTCCCCAAGCACAGTGACATCAGGCCCTGCTCAGTCGTGATTTTGCTTCCTCAGCCCCCTTCAGCCCTTCCTCAGTCACCCTCACAGAGCAGGCTCACCACCCCCAGGAGTCCTTGTAGGTTATGTCTGGGAAGCCTGGCAAGAGCGGTATCCTGGAGGGGGGACAGGACAGGGCCTCCTTTAGCCTTGAGGCTACCTCCCCCGACCCTCGTCTTTCCACGAACCAGACCTCTGTTCATTGTCCCCCCTCCTGCAACACTCTTTCCTGTGCCTCCTGATGACTACCAAGGAGACAGAGTAAGGACAGGACGCCTGTAAAGGCTATGGCCCTCTGGGGTCATCCTGTGGGGGACGTGTGCTAAAGATGATGCCGTATTCTACTCCACATGCTTGCCCGTCACCTTTCGGAGCTGAGGGTGTCCAGGAGGTAGTGTCGTCCCCAGGGTCATCTTGGGTGGGACTGGCTGCTGCTCTGTGTGCCTGGCCACGAGGAGGCCTGGCCCTGGAGACGAAGGGCCAGGCTGTCTCTGGCGTGTAGTGACCGGGGCTCTGTCCTGCGCCCAGGCTACCTCATCCACGAATCGGCCTGCTGGAGCGATACCCTGCAGCGCTGGTTCTTCCTGCCGCGCCGGGCCAGCCTCGAGCAGTACAACGAGAAGGAGGACGAGCACAGGGGCACCAACCTGCTGCTGAGCGCCGCCCAGGACTTCGGGGACGTCTCCGTCCGCCGCGTGGGCGAGGTGGTCCCCACGCATGGCTTCTCATCCTTCAAGTTCATCCCCAACACCGACGACCAGATCATCGTGGCCCTCAAATCTGAAGAGGACAGCGGTGTGGTGGCCACCTACGTTATGGCCTTCACACTAGACGGGCGCATCTTGCTGCCCGAGACCAAGATTGCAAGCGTGAAGTACGAAGGGATAGAATTCATTTGAGCTGCGGCCTCCAGCGTCGTGCAGAGCGGAGATGGACGCTCTTTGCCGCGTCGGGACTGAGGTTTTATAAAACTGAGGTTTTATAAAAACCGGATGACTGCACTTTCGTTTTGTCTTGTTCTTTTTGTAACCGTGAAGTGTGTGCCTGACCTAGGGGGATTTCCTGGATGGGGATTCAGTCCTAGGACTTGTGAAGCTGCTGGAAGTGCCGTGGGAGGGGTGGTGTCCTGCAGCCCAGACTGCCCTTTGGGGTCCCTCTGCCACCTGGTGGTGGACATTGGTCACTGCAGGCACCTTGATAGGGGCCGAGCCTTGAGTTTTGCCCTGCTCCTCTTCCTTTTGACCGCCCTGTCCTGACTTCCCGTGAGTTCTCTGTTGAGTACGTGTGTTTCAGTAGCACCTGCAATGTTAGGTTCTGTGCCTGCTCCAAGGTCAGCAGTGAGCATGAGGCAGCCCGTCCACTAGGGAGGGTCACCCCTCTTCCCGCTCCTCTGGGAGCCTTGGGCATGCACCCTGCCCACCTGGGAAGTTAATGTTTACACTGCAGGATGGGGGCACCGTGCAGGTGACCTGTGGGGACACACCTGCCCACACTGTCCAGAGAGCAGGCACAGCCACATGACAGGGTGGAACTTCCCCTGCCAAGGACTCCACCTCTTCCCTCTGACAGTGCTATGAAGCACTTCAGAGTTTTAATTATTAACTTATTTTTATTGAGGGATTTTGGTCTCATAAAATCGCCAGATCTTATCACACAGAGCAGAGGCACAGCAAATTTGCCCTCAGCTTGGAGGAATTCGTAACTGAGCAGCCGCATTGGCAAAGCTAGTTCACAGCAGAGGTTTCTGAGCCCTCGGCATGATGCCTTTTGCTGGCAGCTTCCAGAAAGTGCCATGTCTATTAAGATTCACGAATGACTTGAAATGTTACTCCCAGGAGGCCCTGTGTTCTGGTAGCCTGCACTTGACCCCTGACCTAGGCCTGCTCTGTTCTGCTCTGGGGATCATCCCTATCATTTCCTGGGGTCTCTCCCCATAACCACCTCCTCTTCCCCACGGAAACTTTACATGACCTTGGCTCATTTTAGGTCCCGGCCGTGTCTTCTTGATGCTCTGGGGCAGAGGCTAGTGGGACTAAAGTAGAGAAGGGACATTACAGCTCTCCTCCCATAACAACTACCTCACCCCGTATCACCCCTCCGGACAGCAGAGGCACCACGATGGGGGGCCCAGGGCTGTGACTGGCCCTGTGTTGACCTTCAAAGACCTCTCCCACTTAGACACTTCAGGATGCTGGCCCAGAAGAGCTGTCAGTCATCTCTGTCCTGCTAATCCTCATGGGACAGCAGCAGAGGAGAAGCCAGGTTACTGTGACATCTCGCTAGAGCTAGACTCCCGCTGGGCACAGCTCAGAAGACCCACATCTCCCCTGCCTGTGCCTGACTGGGCCGTCTGACCCCTTCAGTAAATGTCAGTGATGTTGGGTTGTGGGACTTAAAGAGTAGCGATGAACCGAGCAGTGGGGAGTCTTGGGACAGTCCCCAAATGGAAGCATTCCTAGTGTGTCATTGTTGGCCAGAGCGGACAGCTCTTCCACACACAATAGCTAAAGATTTTAAGGCCAGCCTTTCGTTCCCTCTGCACTTGCTGCTGTCAACATGGTGATTGTGTTCCTGCCCTCCAAATCCATTTGTTTTGTAAACAATAAATCGTGAAAAGGAAATGAGTCTCCTTTGTCTGTAGGTCTGTGTTGGCTATGCAAGGCACTGCCGCCAGTGACAGGTTCTGTCCTGTTACAGGTTACAAAGGCACGGAGCCAGCTCACCAGGGAGAACCTGTGCACCCTGTGGGCTATGTGGGAAGCCTCCCTGGCGACTGGCATCCAGCCCAGCAGTGGCTGAGGGAGCAGGCACAGTGGCTTCAGGCTCCAGCCCTCCCCTGTCCCTATCTCCCTGTGGCCAAGACAACTCCTCTGACCTCCCTGTCTTCCATTTCCTCTGCAAAAGGAGGGTGACCCAGGGCCAAAGCAAATAGTGGGTGTGTTAGCCCATGTGAGCGCCACAGGAAATGACCGGAGGCCCAGCAGCAACCTAGGTACTGGCTCCATGGCTGCCCAACTTAGAGGGGGCATCCAGGAGATTTGGGAGTGAGAAGCACTCAGGCAAGAGGTCTGGGCCCACCTGCCATGAGTGTGTACAGCAAATATGCATTCCAAGGATATAGGGAAGTCTTCACGCTGGCCTGAGACACCCCTGAAGGGAGGAGAAACCAGGAGCACAGGCACAACAGCCGGCCACACATTTGGCCTTAGCTCTTGAGCTCTGCTCTTGTCACAGCAGCATCCTCTGGGATTGGCCCCCCTGGAGACCCACACAGGACTGGAAGTGAGGTAGGACAGAAGAGAGAACGATAGGTGAAAAGGAAAATTGCAATTTTAAAATTGCACTTCAAGCTGGACACGATGGCACTCACCCGTAATCATAGCACTCTGGAGAGCCAAAGCAGGAGAATCAGAGGTTCAGGCCCAACCCGAGCAATTTAGTGAGAGCCTCTCTCAAAGAGGGAAGAGGCAGGGTAATGTAGTGTAGTGTGAAGGCCTTGGACTCCTCAGTAAAGCAAAATAAAACAGTACTTAAAACAGAAACTGCAAGGGAGAATCAAGATGGCAGCGTGGTGGGCAGCAGCAAATTCAGCCTGGCTGAGGTCGGGTATCTAGACCCTGGAAGGAAACAACTTGGGGAAGAAACACAGAAAAGCGAATTGCCAGGAACCTGGAAGGGACTGATAAGAAAATTAAAAGCTGCAGAGAAGTTTGAGACAGATGACCAAGAGGAGAAGGAAACAGACAGCCTAGGCCTGTGCTGGTGAACATTGTAGAGACAGCCCAAACTGCAATCCAGAACCCACATGTACCACAAAGTGCCAGCACTGCAATTAAACCTGAATATTACTGAGGTTTTAGTTTAGAAAAACAACTCATACACTAACATCTTTGTTTTAAAAGAAAAAATAGTAAGCATGTCATAGCTTTACCCCCACTGACAGAGTCTCCCAAGCTCTGCTTGAGGCACGTGGATTGAGGAGCCTGGCTCTTTAGAAGCAAGCTGAAGGCTCCAGAGGGAAATGGTGGTGGGCTGGGCTGGTGACCACTTCAGGGAAGCCCATGATTGCTGTTACAGATAGGGACAGCATGCAGTTTTGTTGTAAGGGACTCCTTCCACACAACAGGCAACAGCTGAGAGGGATCCCAGCATAGGCACCTGCCATATTGCCAGAGTGCATAACTGGGCTCTGGGAAGGGATTGAATGTTTGAATCTGGAACTCAAAACAACTCAGGGAAGGATTCACTTCAGAGTTCCTGGTATTACAGGGACTGCGTGAGTGACAACCACATGAGATGGCCACGGACTGGGAGCAGGCTGGAAAGACACCTCCTAAGTCACTGGTGGTTAACATTTTAGAGACCAAGTGCCCAAACTGTAACCCTAAAGCCACTCATTTATAGAACACTGCCAGCACTGCTCTATGTATGCTCAGCTGGAGCAGCTTGGCTGGCGTTCTTCTGCCATAGGTTTGCTACGCAGAAGAGTTTGAGCTTGGGCTAGGAAGGACATGAGCCCCACCCCACAGTGGGAGAGCAGCCCAGTTTGAATTGTCACAGGTCTGCAAGTGCAAGCATTGGGTTCTTGAGCCCTCACCCGCAGGCCTCCTCTCAGTACTGACCTGGGATCTGCTTGCAAGCGAGGACAATTGAGCGTTGTGACACCCCGAGGTAGGCTGGAATGGCGGGACAGCTCACAGACCTGCAAGCTGCAAGGCTGGGTGAAGAGCACCATAGATTGCCGGGTTCTAGAACTGCAGATCCAGAAAGGAAACCATTCATTCAAAACTAGAATCTTCCCCCTGGTTTTGGACCTTTTTTCCCCCCTTTCTCTCTCTTTTTTGCCCCCTTTCTTTGTATTTTTTCAGTGGCTTATTAGGGTCTGCAGAATTTGTCTTCCTTCCTTGTTACTTCTCTTTTTTTCCTTTTAACTTTTTCTTGCTTTTATTTTCCATATCATTTATCTTCTTTCCTTCCTTTTTCCTTTTCTATCTCTTATTTGGTTTTACTTGATTTTTTTATCATTGTCTAATTCTATAAATAAGCTTCTGCTCACTAGGATCCATTGTCTCACTTCTCTCTCTTCCTTCTCATCTCCCATTGTTTAATTTTTTTGAATTTTTCCTTTGTATACTCTTGTTACCAACCCTCTACCGTGATACCTCGGTTCATGAATGCTTTTGTGAACAATTTGGCTTACAAACAGAAACATCTGGCAGAATTTTGTTTTTGTTTTCAAACTCTGCATTGGGTGATGAACATGAATGTCTTTTCCAGAATCACGGAACAAATTAAATTAATGAATTGAGGTCCTGTTGCGTATTTTGAATAATATAACAAGTCTTACTAATCTTCAGCTAGTCAGTTACCTCTATTACTGTTGATGAATTCTTATCTAGTACATATTTGCTATATGTCAACATCTTGGTTGTCTTAGCATGTACAATTGCAAACTTCTGTGGTTAAAAGTGGTATATTAGTGATTATTCTGGTGATATTATTATTGCTGATTTGCTTGATATTGCCAGGGTCGCATAACCATTGCTAACCTTGGTGACAGCGACAGTCCTATACCAGGGTCTGTTCCGGAGAACTAGGAGTTGGGCTAACTGCTCTGCATCCTCCCCTCCCAAATTCACAGAAGTGGTTGGAGCTCAGAACAGAAGCAAAGGACCATAGTTCCCCTCCCCAGAGTGCATCACTGAACAGCAGACTAAATAGAGACATCCCCCTACTGCCCACAAGCTCTTCTTGCTGTAAGTGCCTGAAAACCTAACCACAAAAAAAACCCCACAAATGAATATACAGAAAACAATGGAAACAAGAGAAGACAAGGCTACAAAATGCTCCTCAAAACTCCCAGTTCCTCCAGAGTCCCTAAGGGCCTCAAAGGGGCAGAAAGCACAGCGCACCACTGAGTTATTCAAAAGGAGAAGAGAAGAGACTAAAAGCCGGACCTGTGAGGGACTTGGTGAGATTATAGAAAATACAACTAGGCAGACAATGGAAGGACAGTAAAACCTAGGTTTGTGATCATAATTTGTTCCAGAAACATGCATGTCATCCAAAACACTTGTACATCAAAGTGAATTTCCCATAAGAAATACTAGAAACTCGCTTCTTGTCTGGAGAACATGGCGGACAGACAACAGCGACTACTGAACGCTCTCTGAGGGCTCGGCTCAGAGGCCAGGAATGATGCGGACTAGGGAGATACGAACCAGTGGAGATATGCTCTGCTGACTCAGGAACGAACTGGGCTGAGAGAATCCAACTTGGAATACAGTCCTGGCGCTGAAATAGGAACAGAAAAATCTCGGTGTGGAGGCTCGACTCCGCGCCATTGGAAACCGCGGCTTGGATTTCCCGCCGCCCGGCCGGCTGCCTCCACAGCGGCTCGGCAAGGAGAGACGCGACCCCCGAGCTCTGGGAACGGGCGTCTGGGAACGGTCTCGGAAACGCGACGGGCAGGAAGGAAGGCTGACTGGTGGTGAGGTGAGCGAGGAACTGACTCCCTACCGCAGTCTGACTCCAGCGGAGGATTTTCTGGGCGCGGGCAGTCCTGTAAGAGCAGGGCGCGGTGGCAACTGCAGCCGCGCATTTCCCTCTCGGACGGGATTGGTGAAAGGTGCCTGGCCGGAGGGACGCTGCTCGCGGACTCCCTAGGCTGGCCTAGCCCAGATCCCAGAGCCTGACGGTGGCCCGGAGGAGCGACCGACTTCCGCGTAGGCTGCCTCCTCCGCAACTCCCTGGGGCGCAGCGGTGAGCTGGAACAACTAGCCAGCGCAATTCGATCAAGCTGTAGCTGACAGGCAGGGAAGCCGGGCCTCCTGTGTAAGATTACATTTTATAAGGAACAGAAAATATGGGGAAGGGAAGCAACAAAAAAGGCTCCTCGACCCCCAATCCTGAGAATCAGGCAATAGTGGACACTGTACCAATATACATTAAGCGCCATTTAGAGAGCCTCATAGACCAATTCAGGAATGAAGTTATCAATGACCTGAAGCTAGAAGTATGCAGAATAGTTAGAGAAATGCTAAGCACCACCCAGGAAAAAGCAGATGGTGGAGTGGAAGAACAGAAAAAGAGGGGAGAATTGCTTGATGGAGAAAACAGAGAAAGCATTGAGTATGTGAAGCAGGTGCAAAGGGACTATCAAGAAATCAAGAAGTATACCCAAGACTGGCATAACAGCTTGAAAGAAACTAAGGACAGACTATCTGAATTGGAGGGCAGACTTGAAACATGGGAGAATGAAATGAAAAACTTCTTAAAAATAACAAAGAAACACACAGCAATAATACAAAGACAAGAAGATGATAAGAGGAGCCATAACTTAAGGATTAAGAACATAAAAGAAGAAGTAGGGACACAAACAAGTGAACTACAAAAGCTACTCACAGAAATAATCCAGGAGAATTTTCCTAATTTAGCAAAAGGTAAAGATACTCAAATGTATGAGGCATACAGGACCCCAGCTACCTACAACCCTAACAGAGAAACACCCAGGCATATAATAATAAAAATTCCAGAAATTCAATACAAGAACAGAATATTAAAAGCTGTAAGAGACAAGAAACAGATCACTTACAAGGGAAGACCCATCAAAATTACAGCAGATTTCTCTTCACAAACCATCAAATCACGAAGAGCATGGGGAGAAATAATTCAAGCTTTGAAAGATAATAATCTACAGCCAAGATTGAGATATCCTGCACAACTGTCCCTGGAAATTGATGGAAAAACGAGGTGCTTCCAAGATAAAGAGGAACTGGGGGAATTTGCAACCACCAATCCAACCCTACAGAAAGTATTGCAGGATATTCTAAAAAAAGAAAAATACAAAGAACCCAGAAATAGGGGCGGGGAGGCCACAACGAATAGAGCAGAGACCAAAACGAAGAAGACAAACTGACAGCTACTGACAGAAAAAGAGCTCAACAGAAATGAGACAGAGAAGATTGGATGATAGGAACAGCTTTTTTTTGGAGAAAATGACATCTTAATAGGTAATGCTGATTTAGTACCATCTTGTTTTGAAGTCTCATCTAGCTTTTGTTCTTCTGTCTCCAATGGTCTAAACAGGTTGTATCTTATTGGATTTTACTATGTACGATAGTATAAGAAAAAACCTTTTAAAGCCAAGAAGATTATACAGAGACCATTGTTCATTTTCTGTTAGTCGATTCTAAATACTCTATAATGCTGTTATTCTCTTAAATGGATTTACATTGTTTTGATATACTTAATGCTACAGTATATGAAGTTGTACTCAAGGACTTCGGGGAGGGAGTCAATATGGTAACTATTTTTGGGTCAGGATTAGCTGGTGGTGAAACACTATTCTGCTTAAATGGTTATGTTTTGATCTGCCCTGTTTCGCTGTTATGCCCTCTTTTTTTCTCAATCTCCACTCCATTATTTACTTTTTTATTTTTACCCATTTAATTACAGGGAAAAATATAGCAGGATATAATATAGTAACCCACTTTGACTTTCTATTATCTCGATTTGAAGCCCTGTATTACTCTCACCATCTTGCTTTTGACTGAGGTTCCTATATTCTGTTTTGCTGGATAGTATCAGGTTCGAAAGTTTAGGCATCAGCTGAGAAGATAATGAGATTCATTATAACGCCCATTCTCGTTGACTTTTATCTACTTTTGAAGACCTACAATGTCTCCAATGTTTTGGTTTTGTCGGTTTTATTCTTTACGGTTTTGTTCAATTGTATTACAACTAATGATATAGGCAATTCTATTAGAAATAGCGGGAGGCATTAGGGTAACCATTGTTGATCACCTTGTATTATGTTTTTATATTATCTATTATGTCCACCCTTTTGACTTGACCGATTCTGTTCTGTTATGTCACATTTGGTTTTACTCTCTTCCAAAAAAGCAACAAGAACCGTGGGAGCAATGAAACCCAAAATGTGTAATAGTCACTGTACAAAAGAGAGGAAAAGAAAGTGCTCTAAACTATATAACTGCATGTATATTTAAAAGTATAAGATAGAAAATGATATCACAGAGTTTTATTGGATCATTGAACAGAACTGTTTGCAGTATCATTGGTGGAATGTCCACTCTACAAGCTTTAATTTTGTGACTTGAACAATTATTTCTAAGATGGCAATATGTAATTCATTAACTAGTAATTTCCTACTGCGCATTTTTTTATTCTGTAAATCTGTATAACTTGTACCCCTTCACTGTTTTTTTTTCTTTCTTTTTTTTTCTCCTTAAATAAAAATTAAAAAAAAAAAAAGAAATACTAGAAACTCAAGATGGTTTGTTCTAAAACCCAAAAATATTCATATAACAATGTTTACAAACTATAATATAATAAAAATAAAGAAGACACAAAATATTAAGAGAAATAATCTACACTTACCTTTGAAAACCTTCCTGGCTTGTGTGAGGGATACGAGAGAGGAAGGCTATTATTAGGACGATTTTCACCATCAGTAACAGAATCACAGCTATCTCGTGGCTCAATGGAATCTTTTTGTCTTCATGCAGCTTCAATAAGGACCCTATCCAATGACACTTGTTCCTGAGGATTTCATAGATATATGAACTACCTTGTCCCTAACCAGATTCATCACTCGCACTGCTAGAGCCTTGCTCAGTGGTTCTTTTCTAATTTTTGCAGTTTCCCATGTTTTACACATCTCCCTAATCTCACTGCCTTTTTCTCTGCCTCCTCTGCAGACAAGATCTCCTCTAGAACCTCTTGTTGTTAGGAGAGGGTCACTCACAATCCCACAGCAAGGAAAGAGAAGAACCAGTAGCTCAGTTTTGAGCATCTGATGTTCAGCATCACTTACTACTAATATTTCAAGATGTCGTTCATTTATCAAGTTAAATTTCATTAGAAATATTTGCTCACCTTGTGGAACACTCGCAGAACAAGTTACTCGCAATCCAAAGTTTACCGTATTAAACAAAATGATCAGAGACCTTGAAGAAGGCACTAGTAAAAGGCTAGCTGAGCTAAACAAAATGATATAAAATATGAACAACCAGTTCGGCAAAGAATTAGATCCTATGAAAAGGTTTCAAACAGAAATCCAAGAGATTAAAAATTATATTAAAAGTACAGGCAGCAGAAGCCACCAGTGTGAGAACAGAATATCAGAATTAGAAGACAGGGATACTTTCAAAGACCAGTTGCTCAGACATAGCTTCAAAACTGCAAGAAAACATGAAAATAGATCTAATAACTGCTAGGTTACACAAAGAAGACCAATTGGAATAAGTGACAAAACCCCAAGACAGTACAAATGGCATAAAAGCCCCTTTTATGCAAATAGTAGCAGAAAACATCTGAAATACAGGGAAAGAAATAAACACACAGATAAGTGATGCACACAGAACCTCAAATAGCTACATCAAAATAGAACCACCCCACATCACATAATAGTCCAAATGCCCGAAATCCAACACCGGGACAGAATCTTAACAGTGGTTAGAGAAAAAGATGGATCACTGATAAAGATAAACCACTAAAACCAGAGCAGAGTTTTCAACACAATCTTAAAAGATCAGGAAAGCTGACTTCCAGGAAGTTGGCAGAGCAGTAAGCAGAGAAAACAGCCTCTCTGAGAGTCACCAGACTGTCAGAGATGTCTGTCACCCAGACATCGGATGACAGCAGCGTGAGGGAGAGAAGGAAGGAGGTGGGTCCCCGGCAGGCGCAGGAAGGATCTGCAGTGTGAATTCACAGAATGAAAGTCAAAGGATGGAAAACAATACTCTGTGTGATAGGAACCCAGAAAAAAGCAGGGGTAGCCATTCTGTTGGCAGACAAAGTGAATTTCAAGCCAAGACTGATTATGAGATAAAGAAGGTCCCTACATCCTCATAAAGGGGACAATCCAAGAGGAAGAGATAACAATCATAAATATATATGCAACAAATACCAGTGCACCAACTACATAAAATAATTACTAACGGCCTTAAAAAATCAAATAAGCCCTAATATAATGGTATTGGGAGACCTCAATACTCCACAAAAGATACTGTCACAAAAAGACAGAACAACTAGACAAAAAACTCAATAATGAAATATCAAATCTGACCTAAATCAAGCTTTTGAGCAAATGGACCTAGTACTTGTCTGTAGAGTGTTCCACCCACAATATCAGAACACACATTCTTCTCAGCTGCACATGGGACATTCTCCAAAACAGACCATACATTGACTCATAGAACATGCTTAAGTAAATGCAAAGGAACTGAAATTATCCTATGTATACTATCAGACCACAGTACAATGAAATTGGAAATCCATGCCAAAGGAAACCACAAGAACTTCATTCACACATGGAAATTGAATAGCGCCCTACTGAACAACCAATGGGGCACAGATGAAATTAAAGAAGAAATTAGACAGCTTTTGCAGTTGAATGACAATGACAATACAACCTACTGGAACTTATGGGACACAATGAAAGCAGCCTTAAGAGTGAAATTTAGGGTCCAGAGGTTTAACTCAGCAGTGTAAGCGCCTTCTTGGCAAACACGAGGTCGTGAGTTCAATCCCCTGTACCAAAAGAAAAAAAGAAAAAAAAAAAGGGAAATTTATAGCAGTAAATACCCATATCAGAAAAACAGAGCAAGCACATTTAAACACATTTAAGCACATTTAATGTTAAGCCTCAAACTTGTAGAAAAAAAAGTGCAGGCTAAACTAAAAGCTTATAAGAGGGAGGAAATTATAAAGATCAGAGCAGAAATTAACACACTAGGAGCTCGGGATTTAGCTCAGTGGCATAAGCGCCTGCCTTGCAAGTGTGTGGTCGTGAGTTCGATCTCCAGTA